GTTATTAAGAGTGACCACAGTCAATCTGACTGCAATAGATGTGAAAGATATTAATAAAAATGATGTTTATTCAGCCAGCTCACATACCTGTATTTACTTCCTGGTTTCGTTCGAAGTCCACAGTAGTCGATTGTCGAGTTCGCGCGCGCGATCGTTAGTTATATTACTATATTATATTACTTAATAACACCACTCACATGGCTGTGCACTTGTAATGACACATTAAGGATGTTAAGAGGCTAAAAGCAGGTTTAGAACTTGCCCCATTGAAGTCAACAGGGTGCGAATTTTAAAGAGGATAACACGGTGTAGGCAACACCGATTTTTGTCGTTTTTGTCTGTACTGACAGCACTCCAAATGTACAAAAAAATGAGCTCAATGTTAAAATTGACCGGAGTTCTCCTTTAAAAAGAGTAGCCCACTTTCATGACTGTTTCTTATAGGCTATAGACTACTTTTTTTAAGGGATATAATGTCTAATTAAAAGTTTTACCTTAAAATACATTTTAAAGTCCCCCTGTAGGCCTACTCAATAATTGTATCCCTTAAAACTCATCTTTGAACACCAAAATTACATGTTACTTAAACGTTTTTTTCCCCTTGAAAAAAATTTCTTCATGCCTTAAAATAGCTTAAATGTAACTTGAATGTACACCCTCATCTCAACACAGTTCTATGAATTTGCAAATTAGCCCCGCCTCCACTCACTCACGCCAGCTCAGAGATCCACTCCTTGACGATCACACGCTGACGTGATTGGTTACAAGGAAGTTTGTGACGTCAGAAACACCAGCGATTTAAAACTGCGTTTTTGAGACTGTCTTTGGTTCACTGCAGTTTTAAGGAGAAAATGCTTAACAGTGTTGTTGAGATGAATTTGCATGGTTTGTCTTAAAGCATATTAAAAACACCACATAGACATAAACAATATTGAAAACTTGAGTTTCACCACAGGGGGACTTTAAATCATATTTTTTTATAACGTTTTGTTGAGCTTTAAAGAGATACACGATGTTGACTAAAGCATCATGTAAAATACTTTATTATAATGTTTAACTGTAGTTTTATTTGATATTGCATTTACAGTAAATACATTTCAAATGTGCTAATTTGCAACTTCATTATTACAAATGTTTAATTGGAAATTAGGCCTACATTAAATTGACCATGAATGCTTTTTGGCAGTACACAATTTAACCAAATTATATTAGAAGATATTAGAATTAAAAAATTGCATATAAAGATGTACTTAAGTCCAACTTAAGTGGGTCAAAAAGCACAGTAGGTTCAGCTAATTGCATTTAATATAAATTTAAACTAATAAAACATGTTAACTTAACAAACTGATTTAAATGTTTTCGGACACCTAATGCCATATCTATTTGCAATTAAGTATATTCTTTTAAATTGTACTATTTCCGTAATAAGTAGGCCTACTCTTTTTATATGCTAAAGTGTACTTCTTTTTCATAAGGATATTCACAGGTTTCAATTTAATTGGTTATGTTTTCTTTATTACAGGTCAATGATTTTCTATGAATATCAATAAACTAACAGTATCCACAAGTAACTTAATTAATGTAACTTTTTAAATAAATGCTATTCAAATGAGTTTAAAAGTTAGCCTACAACAAAAATTTAAATCAAATTGTAGATTGATTGAATAAAACAATTAATACATATAATGTATTATTAGAAATAGTAGCAGTAGTAATAATCTAATTTAAAAAATCTATATGGATGGAAACCATTTAAGCATAAGAAGATTTAGCAATTTCATCAGACTTGGAAAATGAAGCTGCCTCTATACTCTCAACATAAGATACACATTTTTTTTTTTTCGGACTGAGATGACGCAGATTGACTGGCAGATCATAAGGTGTGTCTGAGGTCCGGCCGATTTATTTTCTCATTTGATTTACTATCACAGATGGGGAGCAGATTCCTCAAAGGCAGATACACTGTGCCAAAACCAACCTGGCTGTTGTGTCAAGGTCTGTAGGGTCTCAGAACTCCAGTCCGCTGGTCCACTGACGTTTCTGATTCAAAAAGAACATATTTTAAGAAATATCTCAGTGTTTTTTTTTTTTTGTGGTTTGGTTTGGTAACCAACATTTTTCGAAATATCTTCTTTTATGTTCCACTGAAGAACTAAGAAAGTCATACATAGATTGGAATGTCTTGAGGGTGTGCAAATTATGACTGAGTTTTAATTTTTGGGTGGACAATCGCTTTAAGTTTATATGAATTTCTTGATTCTGATTGGCTGAAAGGTTTAATGGCATTGCAGCATATTCACACATATACAATATCTGGCTCACACAGAAAAAAGAAAAAAAAATTGCTACAACTTTCGTTCAGCCAGGACATGTCCCATTTGATATTATGTTGTCTGGGAAAGTTGGAATAATGCCTAAGGCTGAGCTGGTTCATCCAGGGATTTGGCAGAAGAGTAGGTTTGGCTTTAACAGCTCAGATTTGTCAGATTTTAACAACCACCTGAGGCAAATTCCCAAGGTTTCAGTGCACCTCAAATAAATCAAATTAACCACCTTTAAGATATGCAATATTTCATTAAGCCTCAAAGCTCCATTATGACTCTCGAGTTGTTGATAGAGGGCTACATTTCTATAATGTTTATATATGTTGAGATATTAAACTGTTTTCTCTGATTAAGGTTAATATTAAAGTTCAAGATGCAATATAAGATAGTAACTCACTGCACCTTCGAAATGACTAAAGGAGTGCGAGTTCATTCAAGAGTATGCAGAGCTCTCATCTAGATTCTAGATAAAACGTGGCTACTTTTAAGAAGATAAAAGAAAATATTGTATATTTGCTATAAAGGCTATACTAGAAAAATGTTGATAATCATTTTTGATAGTTTTTAATATTAATGATTGGAAAAACTATCAAGGTTTGGTCTTAATATCTAAAAATGTTGAAAATACTAATAGAATAAAAAAAAAAGTTTTTTTTGTCATATAATTTTACACTTCATATACGCAATAAATTAATAAATGAAAGACAGTGTTTTAAAGTCGGCATGATACAGAAGTCGTGATAGTCTTTTCTTCCTTATTGTGACATTTATAGAAGTGAAATTTGTCCATTGGAAATTGATTGGATCATTGTTGTTTGCTATTGCTGTGATGTCATGTGAGTGACAGGTCCCACCCTCGAGCCGGTGAACACATCATCAGAGAAGAGAAATCACTTAAAGAGAGAAAGGGAAGTTATTTTGATTAAAGATTACGAGGGCACATGAGAAAAAAAAAAAGTATATTAATATGTCATAATATGGATAAATCATTTATAATAAATACTGCAATATTCCAATAAAAAAGAAAAGGAAAAAGTAAAAAGAATTGTCCATTTTGATCTCCTGGTGACTTTAAAAGGATAGTTCACCCAAAAATTAAAATGATGTCATATACAACTCATGTCATTCCAAAACCATATGACTTACTTTCTTATTTAGTTTTTCTACAGAAGATGATATTTTTTTATATTATGTTGGTAACCAAACAGCTTTGGTCACTTCTGATCATTCATTGTATGAAAAAAAAAAAAAAAAAGTAAGTCATATCAGTAAGTTTGGAACAACAGTCATTCCAAACTTGACATATTTCATTAAAGGTAGGGTAGGCAATTTCCTAGCGGCAAGCAATTGCAAGCTAGCTTTGAAAGCATTAGATCCCACCCTCCCTTCAGAGCGTCTACAAAGCCACATCTCCTCCAAAACACATGAACACACAGGTCACGCACAGCAGTCTGCAAAGCGTCATTAGAGACGGTGTTACATTACCTTATGATTCAAAGCACATAACATTACTATAAATAATGAATGTAAACAACTTACAGAGCTATATATGTTTTGTGCTGTTTAATGCATTTGAAAAATGCTGTGTTCCTCAGTGCATAACTTACATTTCACAGGTATATTATAAAGTTATGCAAATATTTCCATTATACTGCTAAACTTCACAGTGAACGTGTGCCAGTGCACGCCAAACGGAATCCAATAATTCTGACTAAAATATACATTTAGCTAAAATATTTGTTGTTGAACATTAAATGTACCTTATGTAGAATTTTAAACCTTTAAGTAAGTGTATTTTTATGGTAGCAGTAACTGTAAAGGGACTATTGTAATATCGTAAATCATGTGTATGCTAATATAGGCTAATTACTGAGCTCAGATGAACTTGTTTTTAAAATCTTTTTGAGCAGTGTTAAATTTGCATTATGGAACCAAATCAACTGACAATGAGTCAGACTAACTGAAAAAAGCCTGGCCTAAATTGTTTTATGGAACAGGCCTCTGACTGCTGCATTTTCATTTCGGTGTTGATAGTGTTGGCATAGGAATGCGTAAATCTAAGTCCGAGGAAGTGAACAGCTCCGGGTAAAACGTCACTGGTTCCCATCTCTTAATTACAGTTACGACATGGCGTGAACGCAGCATAAGCTCATTGTTTTGGTTGAGGAGGAACTGTAAACGTTTCCTGCTGTTTGTTTCTGGCACTCTGTGCCTTCAACTCTGGATAACCTCATTGAACACGCTGATGACGTGTGATGTTTGCGTGAGCAGGGTGCGAGGAGGTATGGAAATACATACGTCGACAGGCAGCAAGAGTCAAGGACATCGTGTCATTGCATTTGGACCGGATGCAATGATTGGACGAATCTTTTTTGGTCCTGAGACTTCCACAGAAGATGTATGTACTTTTATTATTGATTGCTATCAGGACGTGAAAAGAGTTTCAACCAGAATAACAAAGTGCTTATGAAAAAAATTGCCTACCCTACCTTTAAGTGATGATAGAATTGTATTTTTTGGGTGAACTATCCCTTCTATACTTACGAAAACTTCATTATTCAATTAACCAGATTGTAAAACAACCTAACAGCTCCCTCCAGAGGTGTTCTGCTCTTAATAAAACTGGATCTGGTCTACCAACACGTCATAACATCATGAATACAAAGACAAAACTCATTTTTACACAGTGTTGTGAAAGTCATTTAATCGTAGAAGATTTTTAGAAAAATCAATTCTTGATAATGAAAAGTTATAAATTCAACGTTGTTTTAGAAAGCTAAACAGCTTGAGTAGACTCTCTCCAGAAAGAAGAAACAAAAACAATTCAAATTTTTTTGGTAGTCTTTTGTTGTTTAAAAGTGAAACAGAATGAAAAAAAATGTACCGGTACTAATAGTTCACAACACAATGTCTGTCTTGAAAAGATGAAGATCAATGAAAACTTTCTTGACTTGACGACCAAACAGCAGAAGAAACCTTCTTTCTATCCTTACAAAAACAAACAAAGAAGGTAAAATACCTTTTAAAAAAAACCCAGAATCTTCAAAACTGGTTTCCAAGAGTCAAGAACTCATCTAGAGAGGGTGACGGTGTTACAGGTTTTCACTTATCAATACACCACTGTACATAAAGCTGAGAGCTGGTCTGAAGTTTGCTTTTGCAATTACAAGACTGAAAATGCAGTCCAACTGTGAAATCTAACTTCATACATTAAGCGGCCCTCAATGACAGGACTGTCTCAGGCCCACAAGCAGTTCATTTGGGAAGGGGTACAGATGCACGGGTTCCAGATGAAGCAGGGTCAGTAGGTGGAAGGGGTCCGATCCGAAGCGACGGGCTGGATCACCGGTTCATGGGCCTCAGGAGCTCTGTGGCTGTGGCAGCGTCTGGAAACAGGTTATGGTATGTAGGGAGGGGCACGTAGGCAGCTGTGATCATTTTACCTGTAAAAAGGAAAGAGATTGCGATTAATGTCACACACAGCCCATGTAAGCAGTCCTATATAGAAAAAAACTTGGTAGATGGGAGAAAATGGGACAGGCTTACCTGCAAACCACCGCCCGTGCAGAGCGCTGACAACCGACATTGCGACTGGGATGGTTGGACATTTTACATAAACATTTCCCTGCAAAAGCAAAAGTGAGGATTTGTCATATTGGGGGAATAAAAAAGAAATGGCTTTGATAATCTTAAATGTAGCCCTAAAATGTAAGGGTGTAAAAACACACTTCTGGTTCGCTATCTTTGTGGGGACTCACTATAGATGTAATGGTTTTTATACTGTCCAAACTGTCCCCTTACACTTACCCATCACACTCACACTCGCTCAGAATTATTGGCACCCTTGGTAAATATGATCAAAGATGGCTGATTATTTATAAATAAATCTGCATTGTAAATCCTTTTGATATTTCATTCCAAAAATGTACAAAAATCTAACCTTTCATTGAAGTAAAATAATTGAAATTGGGGGGGGGGGATCACAATGAAATGTGCTTTTGTTTTCATATTTTCAATTCTTTTAATTCTTAGATTTTTGGTCTAAGAACTCCTGATTTACAAACATACATTTATTTAATTTGTCATTTTATTTTAATTTCAGAATTATTGTGAGTGTGTGTGTGTGTGTGTGCACATGCGCAAGCATGTTTATAAGCAAAATGCAGTCCCCGTGGGAAGGAAAAAAACAGATCCGAACGCAAAAGGTGTAGCAATTTAGTATAAATTGTTAGGTAATTTATCGCTTACATTTTTTATTTAAAAAAGAAGAAGCAAGTAGTAAGTCTTAAACCATCCAGAGTTTAAATTTTGTACTAAAAACAATGGAATTTTAACAGGGGTGTGTAGACAGTGTAGCCACTGTATAAAGGTGATCACTTACTTCAGCAGAGTTCTTGTCGACGTATATGTGAACAACTCCTCCATGTTTTTTGCACTCTTCGATGACATCATCCTGTATCTCCATGTCCCAGCCAGGTTCGTTTTCCCTACAAAGCAACGCATCAAGAAGTTTATTTTTTCAACCAGGACTTATATTATTTGACATCACATACACCAAGGAAAAGGAAGGAACGTTTTAATAATTAGTACAACTCACATCTGTGGACTGAACATGTTGGAGAGCTGTAAACAATGTGTGGCCAGAGGCTGGGTTGGAAGGTTCATAGCTTGGTTCATCCCGTGATTGGGAAGAAGAGGAGGTGCGGATGAGGCTGTAAGTGGCACAAAAACACAAATAACTGTCACTATCACAGTTAAGCATCATATTGTAGGTGCATACAGTGCTTAGCATAAGTGAACACACCGATGCTAAAGTTGACTAAAAAGAGGAATAAAAAAAATCATCTTTTGGAAATTGATCTTAAGGCCTTAATTAAAAAAAAATTTATTTGTGAATGAAATGAATAATGTATCATAAATAAATAAATGTTCTTCCTTAAAGCTGCTGTCCGTAACTTTTTTAAGTTAAAAATAATCCAAAATAATTATATTAAAAAAAAACATATTCTGCCAGTGGTCAAAACTATCTGCTTGCCATAGCTAGATTCAAAACGGTTAGCTTGTAATAATGATTTTAATTCCAGTGGTACTGGTGGGTTTCCGCGGGAAATTCGAGCATGTCTTTGCGTCACACATAAAGAAGGAGTTTCGGCTAGCCGGCTATACTGCGCGTGACGAGATGTTTAGATGTATAGGCTTTTCTCGCAGCACTTTACATAATTAAACTTATGGCATCCAGAAAGATCCAAACAACAATCATCAGTGTCAACTGGAGATTCAGCAGTTATAAAACCCAAAAGACTTCGTACTTCGGATTTAAGGTGGCTAGAGAAAGAGAAAGAAACCGTCTCATGCGAACACAAGGATTTAAACATCGGCGGGGCTTTTGAAAAGTGCGTGAACTCCGTGTTTTGAAGGGGTTCAAAACGGAAGAAGAGACGGCTTTTTTCTGCTGAACAAGTAAGACATTTCAATAGTTCAATCGTGTAACAGTACGTTTTCTTAATTCACACAGTTATGGAGTTTCCTTGGTTGTGCCTTTCTCGTTTTGCTATTATGGAGAATATGAATTCTGAACTACACAGGTAACCATAAAACACATTAAATTTAACATTAGTCACGCAATCCTGATGTTGTTAACATGAACAATTTGAGAACAAAGTAGGCTATAATTTGCACGGTTGCTGTAAATCGCGTTGATTAAATCTAACGAAGCTTATCATGTCGAATGCTTTTCCCCCCTTAGTTGGTCAGAACAAAAATGGATGTTACTTGTTCAGAAGACATTTTCTTATGAAAATTCTTATGTTGGTCAAACTTTCAAAAAGTGAATCTGTGATTCTGTATGACGGTATCCACACAGCGCGGTGACTGACAGCACCACTCGCCTCAAAGCACTGTGTTCATCCGCGCTGTTTCATGCCGATTTACAACCCACGTAAAGATGATAATTCCGGGAATCACTGCAGTTACAGATTTCGAACAGAGAGATGGCGACAAAGAGGAAAAGCTACGGACTGCAGCTTTAAAATACAGGGTGCATAAGTCAGGTCACCCCTATGTTAAATTCCCATAGAGGCAGGCAGAGTTTTATTTTGAAAGACCAGTTATTTCATGGATGCAGGATACTATGCATCCTGATAAAGTTCCCTTGGCCTTTGGAATTAAAATAGCCCCTCATCATCACAGCCCCTCATCATCACATACCCTTCACCATACCTAGAGATTGGCATGGGGTACTTTCCATAAGATCATCTCTTAATGCAAATCAAACCAGCTATTAGGCTAACTGAAATAAAACCATGCCAATCTCTAGGTATGGTGAAGGGTATGTGATGATGTGGGACTATTTTACTTATGCCCCCTGTATTTTAAGGAAGAACATTTATTTATTTACGATACATTAATCATTCACAAAGAAAATTGGTGTCCTTAAAGGTTGGATTTTTCCTCATTTTTTTTAAATTAAGGCATTAAGATCAATTTCCAAAAGATGAGTTTTTATTTCTCTTTTTAGTCAAATTTAGCATGGGTGTGTTCACTTATGCTAAACACTGTATATTATGCGAATCGGGAAATAGGGCTCTTGAAATAACTGTCACTCTCACAAAATTGGACTGTTAAGCCTTCTAAAGAACAAATAATTGGTGGGAACAGGACAGCAGGTCAACAAGGTCTGTTTGGATTTATCAAATCTCCTCCGGAGACAAATTCTCAAGGCCTCAGTGCACTTTAAATTAATCACATCAGACACATAGGATCATATTTTATTTCAATATGTTAAGTCGCAAAGCCTCACTGGGATTTTAGAATCTGTCCTGTCTTTTATGAATGAGATATAAGTACAATGAGGTTGATGAAGATCTGTGTATCTGTTTTCTCTGATGAAGGTTTATATTAAAGTGAAAGGTGCAATTTGACATGGTTACTCGGTGGCATCTGTCATATGACCAGATTTTGCTTTAGTTTAGATCAAGACATTTAGATCAAGGTACACAGCACATTCAATGGATTCTAAGATAGGAATATGAAAATGACTCAAATACACACCATTTGCCAGATTTCCAAATGTCACAGAGCCGCTCATCTGTAAGGCATGCTTGGCAGCGGCAGGAATCTGCAGTCCTGTGCCTAAAAACATCCCAGACACATTTCAATGAGTTTACAACAATGCAATATCACTTGGAATAATAAATGCAAAGTAGGTTGAAACAGTCATTGGCACATCTGAGAGACAGTAACACGTAGGGTTCAATCTGTACCTTCTGCGAGTCTTGCCATCAGCTGAAGACGACCCGTCGTGCCCAAGTCAATGCCAGTTCTCTCCAGTTCATCATTGTCCAAGAAAGAGCTGGCCGAGGACGCATCCGAACGCTCTGTAACATGACCCACCTTCATTGGCCGCCCCGCAAGCTCAAAACCATTTAGCTGCTCCAGGGCTTTTTTTGCACATTCTGCATCTGCAAACTGCACAAAAAGACAGCCAATCAGCATGGGAATGGTGAAATAGAACTGTCCTTGTCTTTTTGAAATGAAAGTCAGAAGATTTATTAAAATAAAAATAAAAAAAAGCTACAGAAATTGGTCATTCAGAAATGGCCTCACAACTAGGGCTAAACAATTAATAATAAATCCAAGACCTTAATATGATGGTGGAATTGTTAAATCACAAAGGTTGGGATTTAATTAAACAAATATATGCGCTACATATGCATATACACTGTAATGAGAAGTACTTATAAACAGGATGTAATCAACAAAAAGAGAAGATTTAAGAACCACCTGCAGTTTTGCAGCCAAAATAAAAGCTTGAACAATTATAGTTAGAAAATAAGGAAATTATAATAGCATTGAAGACACAGTATTGTAATTTACTGTAAAATAAAATTATTATATTATCTCAAATTTCTTAAATTTTACAATAGTAATATTTCTTATTTTGTTCAATAATAATAATATTTATTATTAATAATAATAATGGTCATATAAATATATAAACAGACATTTTTGGTCAAATTGTGCAGCTCACAAACAAGCACAGCAAACCTGGAGATTATTTTTTGAAAACCACTGCAATCATAATTTTTAGAAAATGTGAAAAACTGCAATTATATTCTTTCACCAAATCACAACCACGAAGGACCAATAGGGAAGGACCAGAATTTTCGACTAGTCATCAACTGACTGACTAGTAAGTTAGATAAATAAAATGTAGCATATGGCCACTTTATCATTAGTAAATTTGCATTTTGATGAACTCACTGATATGAAGCCGTATCCTTTCGACCTGCCTGTCTCACTGTCCATCATTAGCTGGATGCCTTCAATCTGAAATGAGACAAATAACTCAGACTGATTAGCAGATTCACTTACTGTTAGTTTTATGCATGCAAAACCATTTCAAAAGCCAACCACACCTTTCCGAACGGCTCAAAGATACCCCTGAGCATGTCCTCAGTAATATTGAAGTGCAGGGAGCCCACGTACAGCCGCATGGGCCCTGCACCACCTCTCTGGAGCATGCTGGCCATGGCTGCGGCCCTGTTCTTCTCAGCCTGAAATATGCAAACAATTCAACAAAATGATTAACATGCAGTGAATTAGTAATCAGACCGTGGATTTGAATTGTGTTGATGCTCTGACCTGCGAAGCCTGGACTATGATAGGCACTCCCAGAACTCTCTGCCCCGTCAGGCCGATTGCCAGCGGTACTGATGTGGCCTCCACAAACTCAATATAGGCAATGCCCTTTGACCTCCGAGAGTTTCTATCCGAGATCATCCTTACGTCACGGACCTTAAAAGATGGATATAAAAGCGGTCAGGTGATGTATCCGTCATTTAATATCAGTAAATGGGGAGAAAAATTAACCAAAAATAGGAACCAAGTGTGCTTTAATCTGAGGCATCATACTTTTCCCACTGCGGAGAAGAATTCTTCCAGATCTCTGGGTCTAATTCTGGCAGCGAGCTGCATGCAGAACACTGTACGGGCGTCTCTCTCCTCTGGGCTCAGATTATCTATTGGTTGCCTGTTTAAAGAAACACACAGGTGTCAACCACTGAAACGCAAATCATTCTCTCTGGAAATAAAGCTTATGACCGCAAATGAACCTCTCATGGACATTCCCATGACATAAGCCATTCTGTAATCATAAAACAAAGATCATGGCCATTTGATAAAGTTTTTTAAGTGTAATATAAACTACTAGGTTTGAATTCATATCTCTTGGCTACAAGATACTGCATAGACATAAAAATCATGTTCTGAGTTCTGCATAATCCAACACACAGGTAATCTTATTTTTTGTAATGTCTCTCAACCATCTCTCTTTCTACAGTCTTTCTTCAGATCTCCCTCTTGTTCACTCTCTCTCTTCCACCATCATGAGTGGACACAATCACTGCTGATTGGCTACATGCGTGTTGTGGTGCTCGGTCCGATCCACTTTCAACAGCGTCTCAGCAATGGCTTACTGCACCTTTAATAAATATTATTATATTATACTTTTTTTCATGTCAGGCCAAATGGACCTTAACATTCTCTATTAAATTAATACATTGTGTATTTGTGTACTTTTAGACAATTTTGAACAACATTAATTAATTTAATCAACGACACATTTATGTAGATCTATATAGCCCTTAATTTTGATATCAAATAAGATTTTATAGTAAATATGATACAAAACTCAGATCAACTCTTTGTGAGTGAATCAAGTTAATAAAGTTAACATAGTATACTATAACAATGTAATTATTTTTCGGTCTATGATTTTTAACAAGACAAAAACCTTTTAAAACCTTTTCATGTCAGGCCAAATGGCCTGGAATATACTCTTTTAAAAAGACATTTTCTTTTTATTGATTAGCCTATTTTGAACAACATTAATGCATTTAATCAATGAAACAACCTAGAGCTTATAGCAAGATTACAGAGAGCAGTCGACTTGACGTACAGTATTACTGTGAGACAGAAGGTGAAAGATTAACCTCTAAAACCTTTTAAAGTTGAACGTCAGCTCTGTCCGGAGGCTTCCTACCGCAACGATGAAAGTAGCGATTTTACCATATCAATCTGAGCGCAAGTCCGATGATGAAACATTGGAAGAACTGGTTATTCAACCCGAACCTCCATCGCAAGGACGATTTGAGCAGGACGTTCCCCAGTGATTCACTACTCAGTTTGACGTACATTATGAAATGTTGCAACTGTAATTCCTCAACATCAGCATTAACAAGAGTATGTCCATCAACAAATCGATGTGTATATTTCTAATTTATTGCAGTGCACATGCGGGATCAATAACGGTGCATGTTCGCCCAGCACTAACGTGAATGACTTATTTAACAAACATTTGTAAAACAAATCTTGCTCTATCCTTTATCTTTACTTAAAGTAGTAAGAATGACAGACAATCTGCATTAATAGTCACACTTTCAGGTAATAGTGGCTAACAGCTGATTAGCAGAAGTATTTCAGTAACACCGTAATAACGATTAGCCGGAAATTTACACAAAATACAACACAAAACTAAGTATTTTGAACACCCAGTAGAAAATATATACATCAATAATTATTCATACTTACAGGTTGTGATTCTGAGGAGCAAGTTAGTCCAAATAAATTGGGTACAGACCCATCTTTCAAGGGCAAGCGTTTTGAGAATCCCACGTTGAACTCCGAGATTTGAGAAGCAGTCTTCAGTGAAATGACATTTGAGGGCGGGTCAAGTTTTTCGCGGGCATACGACATTGGCGGGCATTATGCAAATGTATCTTCTAGTGACATAGAACCATAAAGCAGTAGGATTCTAATGAAAAACGACTCGTAAAGGCGGTTCAGAGTCAATTCTTTCTTTTGGGAGACAATAACTTTGTTTATCATGCACTTTCGACTTTACAACTTTGCAGAACATTTACATTCACAAACAGCTATATTAGACACTGCATGAAAGGGATATTCGAAAAACCATAATAGGGACACTTTAAAAATAACTGCATCTACCAGTTCAGTTCTTCTTCTCATTTTAAGTACACCAAGATGGCTAATTTCGCTATGCCTTATCTAGTGTAATTTAAAATAGCATGGCTATGGAATAACTTGTGGAAATACTTCAATACTACAGCAGACAGTGATGAGTGTCTCACCTGACAGGGCTTTTGTCCTTCTTAAAAGGGCTTCTGTCCTTCTTAAACGGGCTTCTGTCCTTCTTAAATGGGCTTCTGTCCTTCTTAAACGGGCTTCTGTCCTTCTTAAATGGGCTTCTGTCCTTCTTAAACGGGCTCCTGCGACTAGAATCAGAATACTCCATCAGTCTGTGTTTATTACCCATCTGTGTATCATTACTAAAGACAAACACTAACATTCAGCACACAACAGGCAACCAGAGTTACAGATGAGATCACCTGTGTTTGGTGAAATGTTGTGGGCCGGTCTTCCCTCCGGGACCACCATTTAATTTCGGCCCCATACTATGACATATAAAACAAGGGTTTGTCTCAGTGTTAAACTAGTCAACTTTCAGCCACTGTGGCCATGCGAGGGCTACTAGTACATACTGGTGCAAGGGGGCAAGTATACATTGAAAACCAAATGCTGTTTTAGCCAAGGAAAAACTATTGGTTAGAGGTCAAAAGTCATTTCATAGAAGAATTTATTTATAATGATAACCCAAATCAGACCTAACATGAGCTGTAAGTTTGATATGTGATTATATTGGCTTTGGTAGACGACAAGTGTGAGCAGTGAGACAAGTTTTATATTCTTTAGAAATCATATTAAATAGCTAAATTCAAGGGGGGAGAACTACACTATCCATAATCCTGAAAGGAGATCCTCCTTAAATCCACCAATCAGAGATGACATTGCTGTTACCATGAAAACAAGAACCATGCCATAAGACCAGAGCGATCAGTAAAATTATATCATATTTTCAATATTTTATATATGTATTTGTTAATATTATAATATTACCCCCATATACTTTAGAAAATATATGTGGGGAAAAATACTTCAGGAACCATGTTCACTGAAGAAGTGGGCAATTACTGTTTGCTCTTTAAAAGTGTCATGAAATCCCCCTGTTTTAGTCTAGTCGTTCACACCTCTGAGTTGAACAAGTCTCAAAAAATGGGCGTGTAAAGCTGTGGAAAAGTGGGAGAGTAGAAGGTGGGAAAAGGGGACACAATCATCAATAAAACAACACACCTGCAATACACTTAATATAAAAGACACAAAATATGACCGTGGAGAAAAAAACAAACAAAAATAAAACAGTTGAGGACACCTTGATGCATTTTAAAAATGTAACCCTATGACAACAAGTTCCCAAGAACGAGGAAGAAATGCGGAAGAACATTTAAAAGGTCTAATAATATTTTTATTACATTTACGAGCACTACAGTCTCTGAACAAACGAGACGTGTCAGTTTAACACAGAAAGAACAAAGGCATAGTTCCTATTTTGTCCATTCTTCTTTGAAAGAGAATGGACATCATTTTATTCTGTGTATTAGAATAATCCATCGTGTTCATGATCAGACAGACGGCTGTATCATTGTCCTTATTTGTACATATAATTTATTTGACGTGATTAAATATATGCACATATACGGTGCAGGTTCATCTTTAGAGCACTAGAGTAGAATACAGGTGAAACTCGAAAAAATAGAATATCGTGCGAAAGTGCAAAAACCTTTCACAATATTCGAATTTTGAATTTGGGGTTTTCATAAGCTGTAAGCCATAATCATCAAAATTATAAGAAATAAAGGCTTGAAATATTTCACTTTGCATGTAATGAGTCTATATATTAGTTTCACCTTTTAAGTTGAATTACTGAAATAAATGAACTTTTGCACGATATTCAAATTTTTCGAGTTTCACCTGTATGAAACGTGTGTAGTGATGCACTGATGTGAAAATTTGTGGCCGATACCGATAACCAATATTAGTATTGCTGTTATGGCCGATACCGATATTTACCGATGTCGATATCTCTGTATAGAAAACACATAGCGAGGATTAGGGCTGCACGTATTGGTAAAAAATTACATTGCGATATTTTATTTTTCTGCGATATACAGGATATTGTGATATAAAAACAATTTCACCAGATGACTTGAATAGCTCTATTTGGAAAGAATGAATCATTGTAGAATGACTGGGGTGGTTTTGTCATGGAGTAAATCTGCATAGAAACTAATATTAATAGAATGTTAACTAATGTAGTTAACTAGACTTTAATAAATGGAACCTTATTGTAAAGTGTTTCCGATTTATGTCTCTTGAGTTCAGTGTTGGACAGATCAGTTGTTTTAACCATTCATTAAAGTGAATCGGTTCAAAGGAGTCATTAGTTCGCGAATCGGACGTGTCATTAACGGACCACGGCACACGTTGTGTGATTATCCAGGCAGTTTAGAACATCGCACAAGATTAGTCTCAACACAGAAAACATTTCATCACTAGATAGATTTTTTTTATTTTTTTTTATTGAAAGTGTGGTTTATGTCATCTGAATGTGTGGAAAGCTTTTCAGAGAAGATAACGCAACGTTATTTTAGCACAATTCACAACCTGTGGTAGTTCAGAAAAAAAAACTTAGGTCTTCCGACCTTTTACCATCGTGTGTTCCCAAAGATATTCAGTCAACTCAATTAGTGATCGACCGATATATCGGCCAGCCGATATATCGGGCCGATATTTGCGTTTTTTACGTGTATCGGAATCGGCCGATACGCGGCTGCTGCGTTCGCCGATAGTTTTTTCCCGGCATTATTTATAGACAGGCGTCCACAGGCAGCTCTGTGCTGCTGGAGACGCTGCAGTTCACGTGCAGACCCTGCACTGCCCCTCCCCCACAACCTGCGCTTCAAGATAACGGTAACTTTTAAACTTTCAAAGCATCTTTTAACTGTTTGACTGCTGAAATATTGTCAAACACTTTGAAAATGGAAACACGTTGCTCTATAACTGTTATGTGGTTGCAACTATATAGCTAAGCAAGTTTGTGGGTCCAAATGGAAAACGCGAATGACTCGTCTATAAAACTGCTTGCTTGCCATTGTATTTAGGGAGCTGCAAATAGCTGTAGGCTATCCGTTCAGTATGCATTTGGGCTGTCAATGAATATTCTAAATACGAATATATATTCGAATAGTTTAAAAAAACTGAATTTTGAAGGTGAAAATTAATATTCTAATGTGGAAAAACACGCCCGCGGTAGCAGACTAACGTTACCACAGCACAGCTCGCTCGGAGCGCTCAGTGTCGGTTCTATGTACTGTGAAACTTCAATTAATGTATTTGTTTCAATCACTGAATGAAGCCTGCTATATACCTTAAATTGCTTGCACAAAACTCTTGATCAGCACTCAACATTTGTTTGTTGTTCATTTAAACCGGTATGCGCGGAGAGCGTGAGGGTGAGGGTGAGTGCGAGAGAGAGAGCGCCTGCGAGTCCGGGCGAGCCAGAGTGAGCTCTGCGGTCTTGGCCATTAGTTGATTTACTCGGTTTTTTTTGTAGTAATACGTTGTCAAATATGTTTAAACTCAAATAAGCTACTTTATACTAGTAGTTATGTCTCTTTGTATTAATTTGTCCTGTTGACGTAATGCGCGTCATTGACCAAATGCACGACGATATGTTCAAATATGTTTTTTAGAGGGAATATGCAAACGCCATTTGAGCAATTTTGACAGCCCTAGTATGCGTACGGTAGCTGTTACGAACACTGTTCATAGGATTAAGTAATACCAACGTTGTTCCGTGCTTTTTGTGGGAGATTTATTCAGCGACCACCTGGCTGAGGTTTGGACGCGTGTGGTGTGTGTCTCCCTCGCCATCGCAGTGATATTAGAGACTAGACATGCTCATTTTATTTTATGTAGAAAAATTTAAACCATGGCAGTAAATAGTTCGTTACTTTTAAAATGAAGTACAGTGTGCACTGTGCACTTTATTATGCTGGTTGCTACTGTGTGCAATAGTGTAATTATTTTATTTATGCTTAAATATTTATTTTCAGCAGTGAAATTTTTTTTGTTCTACCTCATGTTTTTAATATTTGTTAAATATTGTTTATCTACTTGTTCTTGTTCTACCTCACATGTTTTTACTATTTGTTAAATATTGATTTTTTTACGTTAAATAAATGTTACTTTTATTAAATTGAGACCTGTAACATTTGTTAACATCATGTCATTTTTATGATGTAAATTGAGGGAGCAAAATGTATCGGCTCCAAATATCGGCTCAAGAAAATCGGCAGCCCGTATCGGTCATCGGCTAAGGCTGATGGGAAAAAAATCGGTATCGGCACTAAAAAATCCATATCGGTCGATCCCTAAACTCAATTCATTAATATGCGCGAGGGAGGAAGAGAGAGAGAGTAAGACAGTTTGAAGAGGTGAGTGCACGCGGGCGACCGGGGCTTTCACTCTCTCTCTGCTCGTTCTCTCAGTTAAACAAGCGCAGCAGTCAGTCATCTACATCACTCACCGGTCAAATAAGGCTTTGGTGGGACAAAAATATGCGGCTGACAGAAAACAGCGCGCAAGTTCCAGTCTTCTTGCGCTTGATGTTTAACTTTAAACTGACAGAACTTGCGCTCGTAATGTATGCGCCTGTGCAAAAACAAACATCCCCGCCCCCACACTCACATCTACACGCACGTCAAAAACACAGGAATGATTATCGGCCTGTTCACATCGGCCCTATTTTGACATCGGAACGATACCGATGTGTAAAAAATTTACCATATCGGCCGATATATCGTGCACCACTAAACGTGTCCATAAAAACTTGAAACATGCTTACTCCTGTTTGTATATGTTCTTTGATCCGCGTTGCGAGCATTGTTAAACTCATCGCCGCATTCTGCACAGAAACCGTTCTTATGCTATTATGCATGTTGTTTGAATTCTCTGCTGTAATGCGCTCTCATGAGTTATACAGTGATTGAGTTAAAAGAGTTCATTATCATGAATAAATTCAGAGAAGCGCTCAGAAACGGTTGACGTCAGCTCGTTCGTCCAGCCCCTTCTGGAGCCCCGGCAGACAATCACCACTCCTGATCTTGCCGGTATTACGCACTGACGTTAGAACCCGTGACGTTGCTCCGACTTTGCTTTTCAAACCGGAAGACAGAAATTGCTCTAAAAAAATGCAAAAATAACTAATTTCCACTTATGAATAAACTTAATGAGTACCTTTAGTGTTTTTAGTGATGTGCAGTCTGTACATATCTGTTCACATCTCAAAAAATGTGTTTTGGGGTTTCATGACTCTTTAAAAGCAATATATATTATTATATTGGGGAAAAAAAAAAACTTCTTGAACCTTGGTCAATGAGGGTGCTGTCACACTTCGTTCGATTGGTTGGTCCGAACCAGAGTTCAATTGCTCCCCTGCCCTTCCCCCACTGGTCTCTGTTCACATTATTTTATTAGGGCCCCAACTACAGACCCGGTACACTTGCTTCATGAAACTATAGCCGTTTACCCATGTAACTAGGTAACGGCTATGACGGAGAAGGTGCCAAAATGGATAGAGTTGCTCGTATCACTTTTGTTGTACTTTTTTTTTAACCTTTGGTTTTGTTTCCAAAGAGTCAACACATAATGGCATCTATCTGCCATCAATGTACTGCAAATGTTCAAAAGAATGCGGGAGACCATTTCTGCTCAAGGCAGGCAGAAATTAGATATACATTCACTCTGCTTGGAGTGCGTCAAACACGCTTGTCAGAAACGTGAGTGAAAGCACCCACAAACACACAGTTATATACATACGTCATTAAAAGCGGTTCACTTCCGTGATTTAATACGATTGCAGCCCCTTTGATTGCATTCATAGCAGCAGCGAGACCACCCTTTTTAGGCAGACCCAAGTACGGTTCATGTGTGCGAACCTGAGTTCACATCGTTCAGCGTTCACTTCCTAAAGAAAAATAAGATAGAGCCTCTTCAATGAATGATCAGGGGCTAAACTCACAAGGGGCTTTTGCGTCCACGAAAACGTCCACCACGTTCCTTGCTGCGGGATCGCGAACGCTTGCGCTCTTTGCTCCGTGAACGTCTTCGCTCGCGGCTGCGGCTCTTGCGTTGTTCTCGGCTCTTCTTGCGGCCCCCGCTTCTACTCCTCCGCTGGCCTGGACTCGGACTACGACTGTTGCTGCGTCTTTTCCTACCGGGGAAAAAACCCCCACAATTTCATTCATTCTCATAGTACATTTTACATGAAAAGCTTAACATCAAGAAGAATGAACAGACTACAGAGGGTTTTTGCTTACTTTTTGCTGCGTTCCTCATTATGACCATTGGCGCTAGAGGACTTGCTTTCACCCTGAACAGGATTGATAAAAGAACAACATGAGGATGGAGAGGAAACACTGGAAGTGGAGAGGGGAGGGGGATAAGAGAGAAGACAGAAATGCTACTATTGTTGGCTCCTTCATGATAAATTGCTTGATTTTCCTCATTTTATCACTTTGGAGAAAAGCGTGTGCAAACTGAATATAATCAAATGGTCTGTTCTTAATAATAAGATGTTAGCGGGGATAGTCTTCAACTTTTGAAAACTATCAGTTTAAGTTCAAGGTCTTGACATGTTAGGCCATGTTTTTTTAGGGGACTCTCAGGGCAGTAGTATAGGTACCCTGCACTTTTAAGCCTAAGTCTTGCTGTTGTTATGCTATAGAGATGCTAAAGGGCATTCCAGAGTCGAGGCTGTCAGTCCGTGTGATCTTCCCCAGTTAGCGCAGTTGGACTGTGAGAGCTCGATGCCATCTCTGTCTCACAGCTTGTCCTGAAGCAGACAGGGATTTACACGGCTTAGTCATATCGCCTTGCAAAAGACACCGCATCAAAGTCATCCAAAAAGATACAACTTAAAACCTCATCAAAAGACTTTCAGGGTTTTTTCCTGCATTTTGACAGCTATGACAGGCACTTGTTTTTTTGTTAATTAGAAAAACATTAAAAAATATATAAATTTCTATTTATTTTTAATGATAGAAATGATTATTGGTGATACAGTTTTAAAGGGGTCATGAATTGAGAAATCAAATTTTCAACAATTAAAACATCCTGTAAGTTTCAGAGCTCAAAACCTCATTAGTCCTTCCTCATTCAGTGCAGCTTTGCAAACAGACTTATATTGTAAGATATGGACCCGACAATAGCCGCGTTTCCATTACAGATTTGCGCAAAACTTTTGCGATATTTTCTAAATGTCAATAAAAAACTATTGAAAAATGATGCCGTTTCAATTAACCGATGTAATCTTGCGATAAGTCATTCCAAAAATTATGGCAATGGATGTTGGTAGGTTTACGTATATCTCAGTCACCGCACCAGCCATTATTTTTAATCGAAGGAGACGTAGGCGTAATATCCAAGCATTAATGGCAAGGAAAGCCCCTTATACTTGGGAACGGCCATGTATGAGGTGTTTCTCCCTCCTAATGTTTTAAGGTCTTGATAAAATGTGGCATTTCTTTGTTGTTTAGAATCCAGTATTCCTGTAATACTTTTGTCTTTTATGAGTTTAATGAAGAACTCGGTCTCGGCTTCTGTCCAAACATACCGCGCCATCTACGTCAGGTGACCATTTCCATTGCAGTTTTGCGAAATATTCCTTTTTCAAATTGCCTGAAAAAACACCTCATGCGAGCCTAAACTCCTATATAAATAAATGTATAACATTTATAAATTTACGTGTTTCTATTGGGCTTATTTTCAATTAGCGCACTTTAAAGGCTAATGGAAACGCAGCTAGTAATGCCACAACATGTACATCTAAGTTCTGTTAATAATCAGTTCTGGACTCTTATTTACATCATGTTTGAACTGTTAGTTATGATAAAAGCATTCGTGAGAGTGCAGAAATTGAGCTGCGATGACAAGATCACAGCATTTATGCGCTCAACAGACATGTCGGCTACAATGCTTATCGCTGCACCCTTTCATGCGTCGGGAATAGATCTAAATTTAATGCTAATTAAGTTTGCTTTTCATATGCAAAGATGTGAGCCAATCACAGCAGGGGGCGTTTACACTGAAGTCTCACAACAGACACACCCCTTAAAACAGAGCATTCAAATCAGAGGTCTAAAATAAGGGTAGAAAATGGCCTTTTATTTCTAAATTATGCAGTTCAACCAATGCAGTTCATGACCCCTTTAAGATAAAGAGATACAACTAAAAAGGGCATGCACAAAGCAACGATTTTAGAGACCATCACAAGACTGGGTAGAGAGACAGTATTCATATCTATAAACTTCAATTTCATTTATAGGAGAATTGGGGTCAGAAATTAGTTCTTTTATTCAGCACAGATCCATTAAAATGTACAAAAGTGACAGTAAAGACATTTATAATGTTACAAACCATATTTCAAATCATTTAAAACATTCTATTCATTAAAGAAAGCTGGATTTAAAGTATTAGGGTTTCCTGAAAAATATTAAGCAGCACAACTGTTTTTAAAATTGATTATGAATGTAGCATATTATAATAATTTCTGAAGTATCATGTGATACTGAAGAATAGCTGCAGCTGCAATAATTTCGGTTTTGCCATCGCAGGAATAAATTATTCTTTAAAATATATTAAAATAGAAAACATTTAATTTGAATTGTAATAATATCTCACAATATTACCATTTTTTCCATATTTTTTAATTAAACAATTGCAGCCTTAGTATAAGGCACTTCTTTCAAAAAAAATTTTTTTTTAATTTAGCGCCCCCAAACTTTTGAATGATAGTGTACATTTTTATGCCACTCCACTAGTTTCACCTTCAACAGATTTTTACTCAGTGACATTATGGAAAGGTGAATACTGTCTCTGCTCCATGTCACATTATATTTCACCTATTGCCATTCATTCGCCGTTCTGAAACCGAATAGATTTGATGGTGTAAGGTGGCGGTCTATTTGTTTTATTTTTTTTACCTAAGGGATCAAAGTACATTTATACATTGCGCAATTACTACCTTACTTTTTTTCACAGTTCACACTGGAATCAAAGATGTATTCAGGGGAGTAGAGGTGAGATATCATTAGGCAAGTCTATAAAGAGAGATAGATGGGCATTTATTTGTAATTCAAGATATGCAACTACACAACATAACTCTTTCTCATACACATTACACAATTTTACACTTCAGTCAGGCACAGACAACACATGTAGGGTTTTCTGAGTAGCCATATGACAAGACAAGGAGTTCAGTTCACAGTTTTCACATAAAAAAAAAATCCCATAAAATTCTGTCATCCACCCATGTTGTTCCAAACCTGAATTACTTTCTTCTGAGACATAAGAACTTTAAGCTAAAAATAATAATAATAAAAACTCAACATAAAGGTAACATAAGTAGATAATAAGACAATAATAAAAGGGTTAAAAACTTTGTATGAAAAAAAAAAAAAGTATTTCAAAATAAGAGAAACAAAAAGGTACTTAACTGCTTTAATGAGGGAAAGAACTACATTTACGATGCATTTGTGAAGGAGATATAAAACTTGATTTAAATATGTTGACTATAAATATAAAATCATAATGTAGTTTTTCACCAAGAATTCCACTTTTCACAATTATGAAAAAAATAATCCAGGCTTATGGTATTAATAAAAGCATATACCACCGACTGACAAGCTCATAGCAGGTCTGTCTTTAATGGTTTAAATATCAATTTCCCAATGATGAAAATAAATAGGATTTTGACTTTAAGAACCCAACTGTTGTACACTATGGGCCTGTTTACACCTGGTCACTTCATGCGTTTTTTTTCTGATTCTATCAGATTGTGAAAAGACAAGGTGTAAATGCCCTCTGAAACACTTTCGAGACAGATTTAAATCCGATCACTCAAACCACTTCAAGAGGTATTTTAAAACAAAACGCATTCCAAAACAAAACTGGACAAGTGTAAATGCATCTGGTTGTTGGAATCACGTGTGTAAATTTTACTCCTCCCAAAATATCAACAAAAAAAAAGTGTGAGAGCATGTTATAGCCACATATGAAAGCACCACAGCAAAATGCATCGCCGCAGATGAGTAGCTGAGTATCTCTTCAGCAAACCAACGCGCAAACTACCGCAAATGAAACTGAAAGTATAGTCGCAGATGCTCAACACACAATCTTCATTAAAAGTAGTGAGACTAAAAGATCTTACCAGTGCTAATGCTGCTCTCTCTCCTATTGTGGTCTTTGATCTTGCAGATGATAAATAAATAAAAACGTATATCCGTTTCTTTCGTTGACATGAACTCTGTTAAATTCGCATATAGTGTGGGAATAGAAGATCGGATATATTCGGTTTGTGGAGACACATTTATGTGGCCAAGTGTTATGGAACAGTTAACAAATCAGATAGCTATCCGATCAGGAAAAATACATGAAGTGACCAGGTGTAAACAGGCCCTATATGTATACTTATTTTCATGCTGTTTTTCATCCTTTTTGAAGCCTGAAAGCTCAGTCCTCTTTCATCGCTCTTAAAGGGATAGTTCACCCTAAAATGAAAATTCTGTCATCATTTACTCACCCTCAAGTTGTTCCAAACCTGTATGAATTTCGTTCTTCTGTGGGACCCATTTCCAGCCTAGCAGGAATTTGCGCCATCCTGGTGGCGACTGAGGAAATGTAAGATTTGTTTTTTTTTTTTTCCCAAAAGAAGATATTTGGGGGTAAAAATACTATGGAAGTCATTGGGGTGCTGGGCCTGTTTGGTTACCCATATTCTTCAAAATATCTTCTTTTGTGTTCAGCAAAAGAAAGAAATTCATACAGGGTTGGAACAACTTGAGGGTGAGCAAATGATAACAGAATTTACATTTTTGAGTGAACTATCCTAACCAGAGAAATTTTCTGAATTTGTCATTTCGAGTTCTTCATAAGAATGGAATTCATTCGGACTGGAACAGCGTGAGGGTGAGTAAAGTATGACAGATTTTTTTTTTTTTTTTTTTTGGGTGAATTGTTAATCACTTAAAACCTACAAAAAATGTTAAGATCCGGCAACTTCCGGCCGTGTATCAACCCACCTTCTTATAAGGAGCTTCCAGCATGGCCTCAACATCGAAGTCATCCGCCATTCTGACCTGCTGTAAATGGGAAAAAAAAGCAAAATACGGTTTACAAACATAACCACCCTCACGAGTCATAGTTTATGCTTCTATTTTAGTACTCTTCGACAAAACAAACGGAAAGAGAACCATCTTACAGTCGAGCTGTGGTGCTGCTGTTCTTTAAATAACACGCTCGATTCTGCAGCAAACGTTCTCGAGACACAACAACAACATTACATAAGCAGCTAATTTAAACGCCACATTCATATCCCGACAGACATCTTACTGTAAATAATGTAATATTTACATTTAAATCTGAGCCAAACTCCTAATTAGACCAAGAACTGCTTTTTGACAAAAAATTTACCTGGTTTTATTTAGCACTCCGGTTATCGTCGCGACCTCTGCTACGCGCGTGTGAAGTTTGCCACTCAACACAACTGCAAAACAAACGGTCAGATCCGCCTATAAACAAGCAACACATACACCGAACAATCATTCAAACAAAAAGAGATAACGATGTTTATATCTGTGGATATTTAAGAAGCTCAGTTCTGTTTGTCATGAGGCTTCTCCCCCAACAAGACAACTTCCTGCTTTCCCCAAAATGGACGCTGATAGGGGGCAGGGTTTCCTACCGTTTCGTAATGTAGATAAAAGTCAGGGAAAGAAGATTTTTGTGTTTCTTATTTTTCGGGTGTAGTTATCGGCCTACTTGCAGAATTTGCAGTGCTTCCGTTTCTTTGAATACCCTCGTTGATAGATCTGCTCTGTTATTGCACAATTTCCACATGCATTGCAGAAACTAGCGTTTTGTTTATTTAATTATTTTCTTTTAATATTAATTTTATTTAATTATTTAATTGTATTTTTTCTTTTGTAATATATCGAATATAATATATAAATTAACACTAATGTAAATAGAAATGTAATTATTATATGTCGAAACCTCAACCTTCAGTCTGACTCAAACCGCCACGACTGCCCATATATATATATATATATATATATATATATATATATATATATATATATATATATATATATAAACTAATTTAAAATATATGATTTTAATGTTTTGGGTCTGTTTTTATGTTTCAGATTCCATTGGACGAACAGCCTGTCACTCTTCATTATGAAAGATGACAAGCACGGCACATTCCGCAAGTAGCCTACATATACCCGAAAAAAAGCAGCTCAAAACTCTCATTTCCTTGACCATGCACCATTCCTGTATAAGTACGACCGTGTCTGTCGACACCTTTTTGCTGTTTGTTGTCGCCGTGCCCATACACCTTGTTAGCTTGAGTTTGTGTTCTTGTTTATTGATGTTGCTAGAGTTATTGTAGGCTATGTGCTATATTGACCGAAATGTTCTAGATATTGTGGATGTAGAGTACAGTTTTTACCAACCTGCGTTTGTGCTGTCTCCTCAAGTCTCGTCACGTTGTAGCCTATATTATGTGTAAGGCTATTGGAAGCAGTTAGAGTAGCTAGTTTAGTTATGGGCGTTTTTACGCTGAAGAACTTTTGGGTAACACTTTATTTGACCAGTGTCCTTGTTATAATGTTACATGTAGGCTAGTATCTATAGTAGCCTAATTAGGCATACTATAAAATATGCATTATTACATGCAACTAACTCAAACCCAATCCTAACCTAAATCTATAGTATAGCCTACATGTAGGCTAGTTAATTGATATTACTCAGTTCCTAAATGTATAATTACACTGCAAGGACAAAATAAAGTGTAACCGACTATTTTTCTACATTTTCTTTTGATAATTAGTTTAGTTTGATAAAACTAGAGGTGTTTTGTTCGATTTATTCCTTTTGTTTGGCGCCTCTCAGGCTCACCTTCTCACCTTAGTTTGTTGTATTGTTGTCCCTTGTAAATACTGTAAATATTCATTTTTCACCTTTTTACTTTGCACTTGAAACAATTTATATTTTCCAAATTGAATCATACCATCTATACCCTCTTCTTTTACAGACATACCTCCACCTTGAGACACACACTTTTTAATTTGATATCCCTGTTTATCCCTTTAATATTTCCCAACATCTGCTATAGGATGTAATGGTTTTATAAAGGTTAAAAGTAAGAGGTTTTAAGTAGGCTATTGTGACAAATTAAACAGTAACACATATATGAAATATAGTAAAACTAAATAAATTCAATTCAATGGCAAATATCCAAAACAACCGAAAAAAACAAATGTTCACAGCTCATCTTTTTCTCTTTTCTTTTTGAATCGAACATTTCCAAATAATTCCATGTATAACTGACATATTTTGAGAAAGTATCATCAATCAGCATCCAAATTCTAATTTAACATTACAAGAAGTTTTCACTTTTTTTTTACTGCATAGCCTAACTTGATAATATTCTGAACAGAGCTATACATTTTATAGGCAATTGTATATACACTCACCGGCCACTTTATTAGGTACCCCATGCTAGTAACGGGTTGGACCCCCTTTTGCCTTCAGAACTGCCTCAATTCTTCGTGGCATAGATTCAACAAGGTGCTGGAAGCATTCCTCAGGGAGTTTGGTCCATATTGACATGATGGCATCACACAGTTGCCGCAGATTTGTCGGCTGCACATCCATGATGCGAATCTCCCGTTCCACCACATCCCAAAGATGCTCTATTGGGTTGAGATCTGGTGACTGTGGAGGCCATTTTAGTACAGTGAACTCATTGTCATGTTCAAGAAACCAATTTGAAATGATTAGAGCTTTGTGACATGGTGGAAGTAGCCATCAGAGGATGGGTACATGGTGGCCATAAAGGGATGGACATGGTCAGAAACAATGCTCAGGTAGGCCGTGGCATTTAAACGATGCCCAATTGGCACTAAGGGGCCTAAAGTGTGCCAGGAAAACATCCCCCACACCATTACACCACCACCACCAGCCTGCACAGTGGTAACAAGGCATGATGGTTCCATGTTCTCATTCTGTTTACGCCAAATTCTGACTCTAACATCTGAATGTCTCAACAGAAATCGAGACTCATCAGACCAGGCAACATTTTTCCAGTCTTCAACTGTTCAATTTTGGTGAGCTCTTGCAAATTGTAGCCTCTTTTTCCTATTTGTAGTGGAGATGAGTGGTACCCGGTGGAGTCTTCTGCTGTTGTAGCCCATCCGCCTCAAGGTTGTGCGTGTTGTGGCTTCACAAATGCTTTGCTGCATACCTCGGTTGTAACGAGTGGTTATTTCAGTCACTGTTGCCCTTCTATCAGCTCGAACCAGTCTGGCCATTCTCCTCTGACCTCTGGCATCAACAAGGCATTTCCGCCCACAGAACTGCCGCTCACTGGATGTTTTTTCTTTTTCGGACCATTCTCTGTAAACCCTAGAGATGGTTGTGCGTGAAAATCCCAGTAGATTAGCAGTTTCTGAAATACTCAGACCAGCCCTTCTGGCACCAACAATCATGCCACGTTCAAAGTCACTCAAATCACCTTTCTTCCCCATACTGATGCTCGGTTTGAACTGCAGGAGATTGTCTTGACCATGTCTACATGCCTAAATGCACTGAGTTGCCGCCATGTGATTGGCTGCTTAGAAATTAAGTGTTAACGAGCAGTTGGACAGGTGTACCTAATAAAGTGGCCGGTGAGTGTATATGCATGCAGTAAAACTCTGTGTATGCTTATTTATGTGCATATCAGTCACAGATAGATAGAAGGGATAGTGCATGACCCCAAGAAATATAATCAACCTGTTAATTTATAACTTTTCATCAAGATAGCATTTAACACTTGTAAATGTAATGTACTTCATATTTCACAGTTTTTGACCTGTTAACTGTTTAACTTTATAGACCTTTTTTATCTTTTGTTCAATGAGGGAGGTGTTGCTAAATGAGAGTCCTAAAGCTGCGCTCAAAATACAAAAAAAAACACTCTTTTTCACAAGGGTAATTTAAAATGTATTAATGGAAAATTAGAAATGGTATATAGAAATATTTATGATTTTTTTTTCTTTTTTAAAAAAAAATACATAAATTTGATCAAAATCAAGCATATATTTTGATACACACAGTATATGAACCATATCCCATTCCCGTCAAATATTAAAATAAGATATTTTAAAAATAAGCTACACAGTACTCAATTCTAAAGTCCATAATGTTTTATGGTCTAGTCTAGTCCAACATTGAGATTCATTCCTCTTATTTAATGCTATTGTCAAACATCAGTCATTTTCAAGCACTGCTTTTTTCAGTCAACATCAGTTTTGTTCGCGTCTCTAACCATCCTGCGGGCCCGTATGCGCAGTTGAAATCTGGAGGAACGTCAAAGAAGAGCTCATCATCAAAGCATTCCTCATCACTGGGGGAAGCCAGATACGGTAGTTTGAGAACAACCCCAGTCAGCACACCGCCCACTGCCGAAACAGCAATGGTCCCGAACACGGCAGCCACCTGAAAGAGCGCCTGTTCCTGAGCGCTCCGACCCAATCCCGCTTCCAGGTCCGGGATAAACACCTGCAACTCCGCTAGCAGAGGGTCTCCCTCTGGAGGAGCCCGATGAGAGAAGGTCTGGTAGAGACTGGGGCCGTACGTTTCCTCGGTCGCCACCAGGATGCCGCAGATTCCTGCTAGACTGGAAATGAGTCCCGTTAGACCGTGCAGGTTGTGTATGCCACACTGATCCTGCAACCGCAGCCGACGCGCCAGGAACGGGCTTAGGTATTTGTACCCCAGCATGCACGCAATGCATCCCAGGATCCCCAGTACAAAAGCAGCGGCCGGTGAAATCATCATGTCCACCGAGGCCCCAACCGTTACACCTCCGGCCAACGTTACGTTCTGCACGTCGGCCATGGTGATTTTGCCATTCTTGCTGAGCATGCTGGACAGGGCGAAGGCGGTGATTGTAGAGGCACTAAGACCTATGAACGTGTGCAGAACAGCTCGGTGTTGGTCGTCACCCTTGAAGGTCAGCGCTGAGTTGAAAGAGGGCCAGAACACCCAGAGGAACAGGGTTCCCATGACAGATAGCAGATCCGACTGGTAACTCGTCGTCTCTTTTGGGTGTCCCTCGTTTAGGCTGGGTCTGTAGAGGACAAAGGTGACACCCAGTCCAAAGTAGCATGCAAAAATGTGGATGAGGATGGAGCCACCAGCGTCGTTGATCTTCAAGTATTTCAGGACGGCCCATTCTGTGACACCAAACACTGGGATCTCGAGCAAGGCCATCACCTATAAACAATACACAATATGTAGTTAGAAGATGTAAAATATGTTAAATGACTCATCTTGCTGACATAAATGTACTAACAAAAGTGTGACACAATTGACATTTTAGGGCTTCATATAGCTTCAATACAAAATGTTATCAGATTTTTTTTTTTTTTTTTTTAAATAGGATGCATCATTTAAGCAAATTCTAAGGCAGCATCATCTATTGCGGTGAACGCAATCCCAGAATGCATTGCGCCAAGCTTAGTGGAAAAAAAAGAAGTATTTCAACCTATAATGTGAAATATCAATAAAATAGTTAAATACAAAAAATATGCATTCATCCCACATTTGTGTGTGCAGATTCATAGGAGTATCATGTAAAACTTATTGTGAAAAATGAGTGCACTTAAAATAATTAAAAAACAACAACTGTATTTACAGATAATACAATTTTAATAAAATAAAAGGCCACTTAATTGTAATTGAAACTTCATTATTAAATACACAACATACAAGTTCGGTAACACTTTAGTTTAGGGTCCAATTCTCACTGAACTAGTTGCTGATTAGCATGCTAGGATATTGGCTGTTTACTAGTTCTCATAAAGCACATATTAATGCCTTATTCTGCATGACCTTATTCTACATTCCTAATCTAATTCCTACCCAATACCTAAACATAACAACTAACCATTAATAAGCTGTAATTAGGAGTTTATTGAGGCAAAAGTCATAGTTAATTATTAATATTGAGAATCGGACCCTAATCTAAAGTGACCACAAGTTCCAGTAATATTTTAGTTTACAATTACTACATTCAGAAATATGTCAAAGACAAATATAAAATGACAGAGATGTACTTATTAGTATTACTTAAGTTGATCAAAACATGAAAGTTTAGCTAATTGCATTTAATATGAATTTAAAATGCACCTTTATTTTTAACATTCAACCAATATAAATTCACTACATTCTGTTCATGCATAAGTTTATCTTTTAAAGTGTATTATTTCCACAATAAGTAGCCTACTTTTTAATAAAGTCTTATAGTGTTGTTCTTTTTCACAAGTGTTGCAACATGTTAACAGTTTATCTCACGCAGAGATGCTGCCTATGTAGGGAACTCCCCAAGGATGCTGCTTTAGAAGGAAGATGATTTGGGCAGTAGGCAGTGAACTTTGTATAGAAACTATTTAAAGAGTTTTTGATGCATGGCAGATCTTTATCACACACATAAAACAGGTGTATGTCTCCTTTGACTTTTTGTGAATGAATATATAATATAATATAATGAATGTGAATGTGAATGTTCACCACATCTTTCCACTGTATCTTTTTAGTGAAATCAAGTAGTGTTGCGATGGACAATGGAAAATGTTGCAATATCTAATATCAAACCACCCGCTGCAAAAATAATAAACTTACCAGGAGTTGCACAGGGCTCGTCTTTCCCAGCACTGCTCCAAAAGAAATCAGCACAACAGCACAGGCGAACTCAGCATTGATCAGATTCAGCACACCAAGATGAATCTTCCCATCATAGTAAAACTGAAAGAAGCCCTGGACCAGAATGGCCCACTGAATGGTAAATGTGGCGATTAGGAAGTTAAACACCATTCCACCAAAACCATAGCGCCGGAAAAAGGCCAGAAGGCAGCCGAATCCAAGAAATATCATCACCTGAATGTCAGCAAAAAATGGATAGTTCTGATACAATGAATTCTCCATGGGTCGTGTCTGGTTGTTCTGTAAAAGTGCATTAGCTTGATCATCGTACGTCACAAAGAAAGCATAGAGGACCACAATCATGACCTCCAATGCAAAAATTAGTGCAGGGAGCCGCACACGCAAGTTTGTAGACTTATTCTTCATTTTGACTGTAACTGAGCACAGAGCTAGCAGTCCTGCCTCCGTTCTCTTCCAGTGACACTTATTTATTTTATCTACTGTAACTTGATAAGCAGAGAGCATTCCATTGGCTAAAACATGAAGTTACATCATCCACATGCTGCTTAGGCAAAGGGAAATCCAGCTGCACTTTGTCCTTAGTAATAACCATTACCAGGATTTAATTACTCAGCAGTTTTTAAACTTCAACAAAGGGTATGGTATAGACTGAAATCATCATATCACAAAAGAGTGAGAGATAGGATGAGAAAGGAACAAAGAAACTCGTTTATTGCAAAGATCAATGGCACAATCAGTGACAAAGCAATGAAGCTCTCTGCTGAGTTCAGACTCGGAGTAATGCACTTTCAACAGGGTTTCACATTATTGTTTCTAATAGTGTTGATAACACGGTACAAAAAGATAAGCTCATTTGCATTTAAATATGCAAAAGTGCCTAATTTGGAAACCCAGTTTGATGATGAAGTCACAAGAGTGAACAGAAAATGTAATCAGTGAATAAGTGTTTATTTTAAATTTTGTTAAACTTCAAGGAACATATTGAAGCTTTCGATAGATCGATAGATAGATAGAATTAGGCTCTATTTTTGCTGTTGCTCACTGACATTTTCTTCTGCTGTAGTTTTTTTATGTGACCTCTAGAACAAACAGCACCTCTATGTCTGTATTATTCTGAAGAGTAGATTATATTCTGTGAATGTAAGATGCAAGAAGTCCTTGAGACTATTTATGGGACACATTGATCTAAACATCTTGATCAACGATGGACCATTTTCAGACTGTGATGACGTGTTTCCATAGGTATTTGACGTGATGAATCTAGCAAAGTTTTTAAAATATATTTTCTTTTCTTTTTTATATAAATAATGTTTCTTACCTTTGCATTAAATGATAAAAAAAACGGGTTAAAGCTGCTCCGAGGGTTTTTCCGAATACAACAGCTGAGGGAGTGACGGCAAATTTAAAAATTTTCTCACATCTGTCTATGTTTTCCCCTATTTTGGAAAGTCGTAGAAAAGCTATTGTGGACTCTTTCTTTTTCAACTATGATGACTTCCGCTTCTGAGAAACCAGGAAATATAAAAAGCATCTGTACATTTCAGCCTTGTTTTGACATTTAGCTGATGCCAAAACAACTTAGATTGCTTTTTTTCTTAGAAATTAGTTAATGCATTCCCTGGGAATCGAACCCATGGCCTTGGCTAATGCCAAGCTCCAGTGTTTGAGTTTACAGGAACACTCTGAAATTTAGACGAAAGAACTGAAGGATTGCAAACACCACAACTGATAAAACTGAACAAAAGTATGTTTTTATTATAGCCGTGCTGCTATGTTTAAGGGGGGAAAAATGTGTGAAACTGCACATATAGCTAATAGTTTCAGGCAAACATATTAAATATGTTTTTATCTGGACTTTTTGTATTTGTCTCAACAACATTGTAATGTCAACTGAACAAGCACATTAGGGTTACATTTGTTTAACACTTTGCATTCAGGCAGTATCTGTTTACACCGAGTGCAAATAGCCAACCCTGATGGCAAAGGCTAGTTTAGTTTCACTATCTACGCCAATCATTGATCAGATATTTTAACTTTAACACAAACAGCATACTTGTATTTACATTTTGTGTGAGTAACACCTATTACAATTACAGATAGAACCCACAGGCCGTTATACAGTCATTTGACCCCTTTATGGCATTCATTTTATTTGAGCAGGTCTTAAAATAAAGTCCATAAAAGCCTTAAATTTGATTTTAAAAACTCTGCAGATACTCTGCATTCATTGTTTTTTTTAAGATTGAGTTTAAATAACTGTTTTCTTTATTAAAGATGAAAGAGGCTGCCAAATTCATGTAAGAGAAGGTAGAGAAATTTCTCTTTAAATGTCATGACAATGTGGATAGCTGCAGTATCTTTTATTATTCCACACACACGCACACACACACACACACACACACACACACACACACACACACACACACACACACACACGTATATTAGGACGTCCTTGAAAATGAGATGATGCATCTCAAGGGGTTTATCCCAAAGAATACAATTTGTTACAAATTTGTTATAAAATGCAACACTGTGACAGAAATGTGATGATAGTAGTAAGGGCTGCAGTTATTTATAAGTTCAGTGTAATTTTCATGTTCTTGTATTTGCCTATGAAACAGAATAAAGCAAATATAAAAAATTGAGGAAAAGATATCAAGTGACATTTCATTATTTATTCAGTTTAAGTTGAGGACAGTCCCTGTGTTATCCTGAATATTCTGATTTAAATATGTTTCGATAAAAACATTACATGTCTGTGAAGAAAATTCTCACTCAAGACTCCACATCACACTACGACCACTCATTTCTTTCGCTCACAAATGAAAACACAATAAATAGTTGTAATAAACGACTTGAACTTTATTGCATTTTGTGCAGACAAGTCTATAAAATGGTCCAGAGAAACCATTATTCATAGAACATAGAAGCTTTTGACAAGATAAAACAATAATTTAAGATATAGTTTAAATATATTTTCATATAACACAATTGAGACACAATGTTCTATTTATTTTTAAAATATTAAACTTGCATGGACACACAAATTAAACAGCTAGGCTAAGATAACTATAATGTGTCATATATTTACAAAAGCAACTGCCACGGTTAAACCTCTCTTTTCCAATAAAGTGATATGTCACACAAGAGTCATATACGTAAAGAAACGGAAACACTTCACCCTTTTCCCCGTTACAGTCACGCTCACAAACATGCACCATTTTGACTCCTCGTGAGAACCGAAGCAGAAAACAGAAAACACATCACTAATCAAGATCACTGTCTTTGGATCTACACTGACTACCATACAAAAAAAAAAAAAGCATCAAATTGCCCTCCTATGGAGAAAGTCGAAATGTCGGCTGTGTAGAAATGCTCTTGCACACACTGTCGGGAAAGTTTCAGAAATATCAGAAGATGTACGGTGCCATTAGAAAATCAGAATCAGTGCTTAAATTGGAGGTGAGGTCTGGAGATTTTCGGTTAAAACACCAACATGCTGAAACGGGTATCAGGAGCACTGGATGAATGATGAAGAACTTCTCCTGCCAATCTAAAGTAACTGTGCAAAGCCCCTTCAGTCTGGTATATCCCAACATGACAGGATATCTCTTCGCATTGATTAGCTTTATCAAGTCTGGCTAAATAGCCCATTCTATATGAGTCAGCATTCTCAATATTGCATTTGAACACATTTTCATAGATGCCGCTTCAGCAATCACTCGGAAATAATCATTAGCACCTTCTGAAACACCTGCAATTTCAAATTCATTTCGCTGGTTATCTTATAAGCCCTGTTAATCGACTAGTAAACTGCGTTATACCAGTATAGAGTAAAACAATGCCCGCCCACTTTTTCAGCGGCGTTGGTTCCGGAAGTATTTTTTTCTTCCATTTATTTCTCCCATAGGGATTTCAAAAAAGTCTTCATTAAAGCGTTATAAGCCACGAACCAAGTCAACCAGCTATGAGATGAATCATAACAGTACAAACTTTGATTTGAAGCAAAAAAGTATTTGAAAATTGGACAAAAAAACAAGAATGTGCACTTGACGCCTTCAGTGAGGGAAATAACTACAATCCCATGAAGCATTGCGAAGAGCATAATCAAATTAAAAATGATGGAGAAATGTAAAACTATGCATTTAAAAATGTTGATTTATATATATAGGCTATATATATATATATATACACACACACACGTATATATAAACAATATATTTTAAGTTTATTGCAAAATATGCATATATATTGAAATGTGTAGGGAGACGACTCGATTACGTAATCTCTGATTGGTGAAATGTCCTGCACAGGATTATGGGTAATGTAGTTTTTCACCACGAATTCCGTTAAACACGATTATTTTTAAACTAAGTTGAAATAAAGCTGGCTGATGGCTTCAACAGAAATACATGCTATCAATTATCAACCTCGTAGCTCACAGAAAGGCTGTCTTTAAAGGTTTATCATTAAAAATATATTTCCCTATGGAGGAAATGAATGGAGTTTTTACTTCTGGAACCAGACTGTTGCAATCTATACATTGCTGCAGGTTAGTTACACGTCAACATTGCATAAAAAAAACATGATGATTCTTCTATATGCATTCTAAGGGCACATTCACACAGAGCGCTATTTTTCAATGTAAACACGTACTAGACAAATGTCTTTAACCATTGCACTCGTGTCTCGCGCGTTGCGTATGAAACGGCATTCTACAAATCATCTCTAGATCTTGCACTTTTTTTGTTCTACTGACCGGCGTCTTGCATTTTTAAAAAAGAACTCCAAGGGCCCATTCAAACAGAACGAGTTTTTCCATTTCACACCTCTAGTTTTCCATTGTTTTTCAATGTAAAGACGTGCTAGACGGATGTGTTTGACCGTTGCGCTCGTGTCTTTTGCAGCGTCTCTTGCATGACGCGGCGTTCTAAAACCGCGGCGCTCGAGTTAAAACAAGTTCAACTTTTTCAAAAAACTCGTCTTTTTTCTGCTCCACTGACCTGCTTCTCGTGTTTTTAACAGCAAAAAAACGAGTTCTGTGTGAACCGGCCCTAAAGGTGTTTACTTCAGGTTCCCTTCAAGAGTGCTCCACAGCGAGGACATGAAATAAGAATAAAAATACCAACAAATGAGATTGAATGTAGATATGTGAGAAAGAAACACTAACTTTGAATTTTCACAGTGCTTATTTCTAGTTATGCTTTGGCCAATTTGGGGTGATTCTAGAGTTTACCGCCCCTTTCAAGGGAAGATAAGGAACGACATCCTATACGACACAAAGTTTATGACACTTCTTTATGTCTTCAGCCTTGGGGAAGGATAAGACGAATCTGATAAAATGATATCGAAAAGCCCTTTGCATCGATGTGAATTCAATTCAGATAGTCTATACTCCATGATGAACGGGACTTCAGACATCATTGTCACCCGCAGAGAAAAACCTCTGTTATCCGACAGCCAATATGGCTTAATCACGACATTGTCCCTGTATGTTATTCTTTGCATGACTTTAAATACTGTGGAAAGTTCTCATAAAACTGCAAGTCACCCTGGCAGATACGGAAGCTCTGATTTCAATCTATAGTACCTATACCACTATAAACAATTCAGTAGAAAGTCATTTTAGATCCTTAAAGAACTTACTAAACTGTAATTGCATAGGACTCCAAAGAAGCCAAACTCGTCTTTTGTGTTGTAAATTCTAACGTACGGTACAGCAATGCAAAAGTTCCTTCAGATAAGATTAACATTTTAGAACAGAAGCAATAAACTTGGAAGAATTATGATAGGTATAGCACTTATTACGTACTTTGCAATTTCTGTTTCGGATAAAAAAAAAAAAAAAAAGATCAGTTGAGCATAACTAGAATACTGATAAAGAAAATGTACTTAGCTATAATTCAAATTCTTTTTGCAAACAAGTTAAAGATCACTTGTATGAATTTATAGACCACAACCTTTACACACTACCTTTCTACTACAAGTGTGAACTTTGACATGACAACATATGAGGAAAGATGAGGTATGTTTGAATAGTATAAGGACAGACCGGCGGTGACATTTTGAGTCGGTTTGCCTGTCTTTGAGTTGTAACCCTGTAAAAAATTTTTTATTTTATGTCATTAAACTATTTAACTAACTTGGGTGTCTAAATGTAAATACACTTTCGATTTAAATGCAAAAAACATCTATAAATATTGCATTTTTTTCTTTTGTTTTTTTCCCCCCCCCTCAGTCTTATGTTTTGGGGGAGCGCAATTTATATTTACATTGTAATGAAGGTAGCAGCAAACTCAGCACAATTTGATTTTAAAGTTTAAAACATACATTTAGTTATTTTCCTTTTTAGGTCTCACAGTTACACAAGACGATAGTTTACTAGTCTATTCAGTAATCGAATATATTTTTTTCATCATTGCAGTTTTACAAAAAAATAAAATAGTTCTTTAGATAAATGTGTTTTAATATCTTCTATTACTACCACACATGAACTAAATAATATGCTCGTGCTCGTGAATTGAACAGTACGCATCAGTCGCTCACAGATGCTGCTTAAATGTAGCAAATTAGTGTCGTCTTTACAAATGTAAAAATAAACGAAAATGTCAGACATTCATGACAAACATTAGACATGAGTTTAAAATACTATGCAGTTAAAATATGCTTTTGTTCACAAATTTGATTGGGTGAAAAAGGATGATTTCATTAGAATAAAACTGCATCTGGTTTACAAAGTAACTGGAAATGTCAGACACATGATCCTGTATGTTATGATGCCGTGACCCAGCACTGTCCTTTTCTTTATGAAAATGCAAAGATTGGTTCGTTTTTTGATAAAAATGTTTTTCCTCTCATATGGCACGATTTATTTTGTGATTTGGCAAGAGATGTACATATACCATGTTTCCCCATGATTACAATCGATCAAAAATTGCTGAATGAATAAATAATTTTCTTTGTAAATAAATATTTGAAATATAAATACTAATCCTTTTTTTCTATTTACATTCCCTTAAGATATATGTAATTATACTATTAAATGCGATTATTCAGGATTATATCTTTATGGAATATTTATGGGTTTTCAATTCTGTTCAGACTCTCTCCACAGTATGTACACGTGTGTAACTGAGCAATATATAATTCATGTCTGCTGATGATATTTTTCCATTTCATGGATCAAGTGAACATATTTGGGAAAGGAACATATCCATCAACCCTCCAATATTATAAAATCTACCCCAGTACAAACACACACACATATACACACACACACACACACACACACACGCGTGGTCCAGCCCTCTCATATCGTACAGTATATGACTCTTAAAAGGCTGATGTAGTCAGAGGACATGCAGATGGTCAAGGGCAAAGCTGATAGTCATTGATCCAGTAGTGCTTACATTAAACACTGGCTCACATTAAACCCTGGTCAATTCTGTCCTTGGTGTAAAAACACACCTTAGACAATTACGTGGTACACTGGAAGACTTGTTTTCAACAAAGAAAGATTCCACTCTATTTACCCAATGATGAACAATAAAACAATGGAGTGATAGTAAAGGAACAAAATATAAAACCTAAAGGGGCAATCACAATAGATTTTGAGATTCATTACTATATAATAATTCATCCTAATAATTTGCTAGTATTTGAGCTGCCTATTCAAATAGCTATACAATGTATGACCAATAGAGGTTTTAAAGGGGTCATTGACATGTAAGAGGTCTTCGTACCATTAAAAGATATGCTAAATAGCTTAAAACGTCCTCCTTGTTATAAAAAAAACAACAACATTTATTTAATTAAGCTCCAAAAACAGCTTGTTCTGATATTGGGATCTGTGATGTCACACGGGCAAACATTTGCATATGACTGCCTTCAGAGCAAGACATCGACCAATAGTTTTACATCATTGTACCATAGGCCCCGCCCACTGGCATTCAGTCGCTTAACGGCTGACATTTGCCCCACGCTGGATATGAGCGTCCCGTCAAAAGCAAATTATAATCACTTTATAACTATAATCACTGCCTCTGTTATTATAATCAGAAGACTTCAGAAGGATCAGTGTCGGAAACACGTGGATGGTTTATTTGAATGGTATCGGAGGATTATATGTTTGTTCTGAGCATTTCTTTTGTAAATGAGGCACAGCGTAATGGAGAGTTCGCAGAGAAACTTTCATTGACAGATGAAGCAATCAGCTGTATTGAATCTGATAGCAGCTGTATCACAAACCGTAAGTACATGACTTCATAACGTTTTGTCTATAAATGACGGTTTCAAAACACTAACCTACGTGCAATAGCGAGTGGGAGTTAATACCGTTTGCTATGCAATGACGTTAGCCAATCATAACAGAGTGGTCGTTCACTGACAAGCTTTAAAGGAGCCGCCCCTTAAAAACTGATCATTTCAGACAGAGGGTCAGAATGAGGGTTGAAAATATATATAACTTTAATAAATAACTTTATTAACATTATAAGTGAACCTCAAGGAACATATTAAAATAAAATATTAATAAATCCATGTCATGACCCCTTTAAATGTAATATCGCCATTAAACCGTGGAGGAACATTTTAGTTTGGGAATCATCTATATAAACTACCATTTAAAAGTTTGGGGTTGGTAATCTTTTTTTTTTTAAAGAAATTAATACTTTTATTCAGAAAGGACACATAAAATTGAACAAAAAAGACCTTTACATTGTTACAAAAATAAATGCTGTTATTTTGAACTATTCATCAACGAATACTTTAAATCTTAAGCAGTACAGCTGTTTTCAACATCGATAATAATAAGCAGCAAATCAGCATATTTCATTGTTTTGATCAAATAAATGAAGCCTTGGTGAGCATAAGAGACTTCTTTCAAAAACATTAAGAAATCTTATCGACCCCAAACTTCTGAATGGAAGTCTAACACAAGTTTAGATGAAAGACACACTTTAAAAGAAGCTGGATGGTTTGTAATGGTCACTAAAACCCTTTCAACATTTAAAATCGACTGTTTTTTTAGGTCCACCCAAAATAAAGTTTCGCATGCTTAAAATCTAGTGTGACTGTCCCTTAAAAATGTTTTGTTAAGACATATAATATTAGATAAGGTTTAGATGGATCAGAGTATTTGGTCGGGTGTCACTGGAGAACATGGGCTTTTGGAAATGAGTCAGAATATAGTAACAAAGACCAACTCAATCATTTACTCATCTGTGTGTGATCTACGCTGTTGACTTTATGAGGTGAGAATGAAGCCAATAAGAGGAAGATAGAGTGACTGATTGAAGGATAAAACTTAATAACGTGGAAGAAGTGACATCTACTAAGCTGGTGTCTTTTTAGACTATGTAGTGCAAAGTCATCTGATATGTGCTGGGGCGTTATTGCTCATGGTGTAGGTAGGGGTTACTGGGACGTTCCGTTTATGCAGTGAGGGACGAGAGGTGAGGAATATTTGGTGGTTGAGCTGAGCCCCTCAAGAGTAGATGGTAATGACCTCACGTCCACCTCCACGCACGAGCAGGACTCTGTTGAGACCTTCAGTCAGGACCTCGAGGAACTCCATGTCTGTGTGTCTGAAGTTAAGCGGCAAACTTTGACATTTACATGAGAGTAGTCTCTGTCATACACAAGCAAGAAATAACTTCACTGGAAAAAAGTTTTAAGTCAGAATGACAGATGATTTTTTTAGAGGAAAAAAGGATACAGTTCTCTTCTCCGGTGCGGTTCCTCGGTGGTCCAGGCATGTTTAGCAGGACTAGTTTAGCCTCTTGCGACTTCTTCACAATGACCCCATTGAGCCTCTGCGCGTGGTGCATGCGCCTGACATTCGACTGATTCCTGTATAACACATCATATGAAGAGCATTGCAAAGACTTTTTTGTGCATGTGAGGTTGATATGACAACATTTTTAGTATATTTCTGCTTATCAGAGAGATATGAAGCATACAAAAAAAAGTGAAGGAATCAAATGAAGTAGCATTAGTGTTATCTTGAAAGTGTACTCACAGGTTCTCCCATTCCCTGAGGCATGAGCAAGGGGAAATAACAGTGAACAACCCAGTGAACAGAGAAATACAGGAACACAGCACAAATTCAACCGCATTGAGAACGTAATTACACAACATCAGTGAGTTTTTTTTTTTAACCGTAACTACAAAGGTAAGGATGCACCATTATATTTATCGGGCAATTATTTAATAAAAAACCATCAGCATGTCGAGTGTCAACTTGAAAAAGTCAGGTGGAAGCATGCTGGTGGTTCTTGTATGTGTTCGGTAAACCATTGTGTCGTGTCTCACTGATTTGTTTTTTTAGCATCAGGCGTCAACAGTCTAACCATCACTGTTTTTGTAATCTGAAGTGACAAGAGCGAAGCAATTAAAACGCACGCAAATTCTCTAATGATGATGGAAGTGTTTGTGTTTCAAAGTAGAGTTTAACATACTGCTGCTGTTTATGGAAGCTTCCCAGCAAGCTGTCATTTCACCGTCTCGGTTAACTATAGACCCGATATAGTCCAGCTATGAGTAACCTACTTCTAGCCAAAATAACCTTGAATTCGGTTACATGTTGTTTTTGCCAAACTAACTTGTGTTTCATCATGTAAGCAAAGTCAACCGTGAGTACAAGGTGTGTGTGTGGTTTCATTTCTTTGACATGTTCTATGCAACGTCTTTTAAACGCAAAATTGCTTGCTGGGTTGTTTCCTCCACAAAATAACACATTTTAAAAGATAATTGCGACTTTTTATCTCACAATTGCGAGTTTACATCTGGCAATTCTATTTTGAGTTATAAAGTCAGTTTGCGAGTTCCATACACATGTTCCATAAGAAAAACATCTTAATTAGCATGGGTCAATATTTTTTATTATTATTATTGTTGTTACTAAAATCAGAGAAAACCCCAAATCCTAAATCTCTGTGCAAAGGTTTGACTAACATCTCACTCTCAACTAATAGAATTATACAATGATTGAGTGAATATTTCCTTTTTTACTCAAAACTCATTTTTGATTCATTTATTATAGCAGACACAATATATACTTAGTAGAGACCGCCATTCTCTTGACTCACGGTTTCATGTTGAACATATCCTTTATGTTTTCAGGGTTGGCCACTGCTGGGTTATTGGTCTTCTCCGTTTCGTCCGTCCAGGTCATCTGCACCTCCTCTCCGGGGCTCATGGCCACTGGTGTCGGAGCGGTAGGGGAGGTGGGGCTAGTGGGGGTGGGGGTGGCATTTTTGCCCTGAATGAGTTGAACCTGTCGAGGACGGGAGAGACGGACAGACTAAGAGAAAGGTAAAAAGAGTGAGAGGATAGAGAGGGATGAAACAAAAATTAAGAAGTGAGAATTGTCGCTTTTCCGGTAACCTTGTTTTCAGAAGGATAAAGAAAAGAGAGAGAGGGCGAGAGATGCACTGCCCGGGTGTTAACAGAAGAGAACGATTTTCTAGTAGATAATGACTGAGAGAAGAGAGAGAATTGCAAAAATAGAAAGTGATGAAGAGATGCTATCTTCATGGCTGATAGGTCCGTGTTATCATCTAATCGGCTTGAAGGAAAGGCGTGATTAGCTCAACTGGAAAACAAGCACAAAGTCACACACTTGATGGATAAATGCACAGAGACAAAACTGAGAGACAGCAGCTACCTCCTCCTCGGGTCTCTCTTCGCCACCTCCTGTCACGGACTCCTCAGCGATGCTCCTCTGGGGGTGCAGGTTTGAAGGGTTCTTTCGCCGTATAGAGCCACGGGACACATCTGTGATGCTCTGAATCTGAAGAGACAACATCAGCGCGGTTAGACTGATTCAAACGGCGAAATATTGATGTCTGTTAGAATAAACCTTGTGAAAAATAAGTCTGCTTAACTGTATTGCCTAATTAGGCTTAACTGTAACCCTAACTCAATTCTTAAAAGTGTATTTTTACTTGCAGAAATTATATTAATGAAATAAAGGGAACTTAAGTGTACTTAAAGAGAGTACATTTTTAGGACTATGTTTGGTAACACTATTTTACAGTGTCCTTATTTTACGTTACATGTAGTTAGTAATAACTATAAATTCTGCATAGTTACATGCAACTAACCCTTAACCAAACCTAATCCTAATCTAACCCTACAGTAAGTACATGCAGTTAATTATTATTACTCTGTACTTAGGTGTATAATTACAGTGTAACACAGACACCTTAAAATAAAGTTTAACCCTATGTTTTTTTTTTTTTAAGTGCAATGCAGTAATGTAATTAAATGGCAAATGTAATAATGGCAAATGAAACGTTTTACTTTAAAGTACATTTTAAATCATTATGTTTTAATAATCTTTTGTCATGCTTTAAAGTACACTTATTTTGATGTGTAAATAAGCAAAAAATATAACTGTAGACCCTAAAAAAAGTGTTTGATTGTATTGAATGTGCATTACTGTACTTCAATTCTTAATTAATTGAAGTATTGTACTTCAAATCATAAAAGTATATTTAATTATATACACACATACATACATACATACATATATATAAAAAATTGGATTTCTTATTCAAACAAAATCTTGTCATCCAGCAGTCTCCTCCCTTCCTCATTCATTCTTATCCTTTTCACCAAAAATGTGTTTTAGGTGGACACTGGACAGATCAATACAGTACAAAGAACCTGTAGGATGTTGGAAAATAACAATGTCTTTTTTGATTCTGTTAACCAAATGCTTTTTAATCTTTGCTATTCCTTCAATGCAAATGAATAAGCCAGATATTAGCAGATTTTGCACAATATGCTGTATTTAATAGATCACGATGACTCACGAGTTGAGTATTTGCTAAATTCGCGTAGATTTGGCTTACACGAACTTCCCAAGCAAAGTGAGTAAACATAATAACACGCCAAATTGGCTAGTGATTTGACAGCGTTACCCACCACAGTTGATTTTTATTTGGCGGGTGTTAATTTTACCCCCCCCCTGCATATATATATATGTGTGTGCGTGTGTGTATATAGTACTCTGAAGCTCAGCTAATTGCATTTTTTATATCAATTTAATCTATAACATTTTAATTTAATTGCAAGTATGCTAAAGTGTATGCTAAATTGCAAGTATGCTAAAATTTTTAAAGTATGCTAAAATGTACTTATTTTTCACAAGGGAAGACTCTGTTCTTTGATACCTCTCTCTCACGCTCGTTCTTGGTAAGATGCATCTCCTTGAGGATTTGCGATCGCTGCTCCATCACCAGGGTCTTTTCGTAAGTGTAGGCTGAAATGTCGCTGTCATGCTTGAATTAAATGAAAGAACAGGTTAGAATGATGGTTTCTAGTATCAACTAATGTGTGTGAAGAAAGCATCTTTGTTCCTCACCATTTCAACCACCTCAACCTCAGCATCAAAGCGCAGGTGATAGAGGAATGTCATCAGGTCTTTCTTCATCTGAATGCTGTTGTCGTCCATTTGAGCCACAGTGAAGATACGCATCTTGCACTTCCTCCACACCTACAGTTGAACCACAGTTATTGTCCAGGGCTGTGTTTATCAAATGCATTTTGAGCTAAGTTGATTGTAGAGACCATTGGTGCTAATGGTTTTACGATTTACTTAGGCTTACAACGCTTTCAAGAAACTCAGCCCAGTATAGCAATCGAGTCAGTATTTCTCATTCAAAGACATGAACTGAATGTGTTCTCAGTTTCAATCCCTAGTGAGCAGCCTCACAGGCAGCAATTGATTTAAAGTACTGAAATTAAACCTCAACTGCCACACTTTACATAACTCCATTAATGCTCAGCCACTCCACATAAATATAGCACACGATGAGAGACTTGACACAATTCACACAGTGATTTCTATAGTGTTTGAAATTGACATATTAAGCTAATAGTTAGAAACTTTGACAAGCACAACAAATATTGGGTGAAATAGTTTGTCTATCAAATGCATTTTGAGCTAAGTTGATTGTAGAGACCATTGGTGCTAATGGTTTTACGATTTACTTAGGCTTACAACGCTTTCAAGAAACTCAGCCCAGTATAGCAATCGAGTCAGTATTTCTCATTCAAAGACATGAACTGAATGTGTTCTCAGTTTCAATCCCTAGTGAGCAGCCTCACAGGCAGCAATTGATTTAAAGTACTGAAATTAAACCTCAACTGCCACACTTTACATAACTCCATTAATGCTCAGCCACTCCACATAAATATAGCACACGATGAGAGACTTGACACAATTCACACAGTGATTTCTATAGTGTTTGAAATTGACATATTAAGCTAATAGTTAGAAACTTTGACAAGCACAACAAATATTGGGTGAAATAGTTTGTCTATTAAAATGGAACTGTTTTTATTAATACTTTTCAGTATTGAATAAAATAGTGTAACATATTTAAACATTTTTTAATTTAAAAATGTCAATGCCATCTCCGTTTTAAATAAAATAAATTTGTTAACCAATTTTAATAACTCTGCCCACCATTGCTCATACAATTTATCCTTTAGTACAAGCGTATTATTTCTATTTACAAGTTTCTATTTAAAAGTTTGCGGTCAGTGACTTTTTTAAAAGAAAGCTATACTTTAATTCAGCAAGGATATATCAAATTGATCAAAAGTGACGGTAAAGACATTTCTAACAATACAACAGTAAAAAATGATATAAAAAAAATCCTGAAAAATATTAAGCAGCACCTCATCATATTAGAATGATTTCTGAAGGATCATGTGACACTGAAGACGTGTTTAATGATGCTGAAAATTCAGCTTTGCCATGACAGAAATAAATTACATTTGAAAAAATATTAAAATATGGACAATTTAAATGTTGATATTTTTATGTTACATATTATGTTACATATTATGTTATTTTAAAATTGTAATAATATTTCACAAAATCCTGATTTTACTGTATTTTTGATCAAATAAATACAGCTTTGGTGAGCAGAAGAGACTTCTTTTAAAAACATTTAAAAATCTTACCGATCCCAAACTTTTGAATGGTAGTGTATACATTTTGACTGATATTTTTGTAGTACATACAATTTACACTCATGTAAATATCAACTGCCATTAAAAACTGTTATTGTGCTTGTCGCATGGCATTGTGGGATTGCTGTCGGTGTGAAGGATGCATGTAATGCTGCTTTAGATTCTATCCAACAGATCTTAAAGGGGACCCATTACGTCCCTTTTTACAATAGGCCTATGTAATATAAGTCTCTGGTGTCCCCAGAATATGTCTGTGAAGTTTCAGCTTAAAATACCCCACAGATCATTCATTATAGCATGTCCAATTTGCCCCTATTTGGGTGTGAGTAAAAACAAGCCATCTCGTGTGTACCTTTAAATGCAAATGTTCTGCTGCTCCCCGCCCCCTTTTCAGAAGAGGGCGGAGCCTTTACAGCTTGTGCTTTGAATACTCCGGCAACAACACAATTGGAGAATCTCACACAGCCAAAATGTCAGAAACTGTCAGTAGCGGTGTTCAGCCTTACAGAATATGTTCGAACCGGAGTCGGACACAAATGGAGAGACTCAGGAAGAAGTTTAGAATGATGAATTTTTTTAGTTGTTGTGGAGTTAACTTTATTCAACTTATCGATTAGCATGTTTCGTCATGATCAAATGTAAATTGTTGTACAGGTGCTCATGTGGGAACTTTAGTAGGATGTTGGTATCGACCCATCTTTCAGAATCAACTTTTGTGCAAATCCAGCGCAGCCTTGCTTTCATTCCTGTTAAAAATCTAAGATGGCGCTGCTTTGAATAAAGTCTATAGGGCAGATCGTCACCAGTCATGGGCGGCGCTTGTACCTATTTATGAGGATTATGTGGAGTGGGTGGATTTTTACCATTACAGGCTGGTTGTTTACACACACTGTGGACACGTATCAGTTTTCAAACACCATGTAAAAGTGAATTTTGCATAACTAGTGCAGTGCCGGTGCAAAATCTGTTTTTGTGTTTGTTTTTAGTAATTGTTGGTTTGGTGTGTTTGAGTGCTCATTGTTACAATTACACAACAAAAGTTCAGTGACATTTTTATTTGTAGCTGACTTAATGTTTAGCTGACAGAGTGTTTATGTCAGAATGTTTATTTTTAAACCACAACCTTCTAAACATCATCTAAACATCTTCAATGTGTGCTTCTTTTACCAATATATTTACCGATATCTTTTGCATTTCTAATCCAAACAACGTCAAACTTGGCACTGCACTTACTCATGCCCGTAGCAAGACACCTGTCAAGTTTGAAATCCATCGGACTAACGGTTTTAGAGATATGCGAATAACAGACACACAGACAGACAGACAGACATTCCTGTAATTTATAGATAGATAGGTCCCCTTTAAATGAAGCATACTGTAAATTGCTGCCTTCAATTTTGAAAAGCCTTGGAGTTGGTTGCACGCCTCTGATGCCTAAAATGCTGTTTAGGTAAGCAGAGTTTAGGCCAGAGGTGTACGGTTCTTGTCCACAATCAAGCTACTATTATCTATAAACAATAATAAAACATTGTTCTGAACACTCTGCCAACATGATACATGTATGTGTGTTTGTGTACCTTGTGCTGGCGCAGAAGAAAGGGAAGGAGCATGAGCATGCCTCCATCATGGACAATCCACCACACGTCAATGTAGCCCTCGGTGAAACGCTCTCCATTTGACGGATATGCAGAGATGTTCTTCGGCACCAGCAAGGCCAACTGAGCTGCGGTAGTCTCCCTAACAACCTCTGTGGGGACAAAACAGAGCAATATAGTCAAACACACTTTGTGTGGTCATACATATGGCTGAACGAAAAAATAAAAAAAAGGGGAATTTTTCTGATAAAAATTGCAATTGGGATGAAAAATGCAACACTGACAGTTAACAGGCTATGGTAACAATGGCGAATTACCACTTTTTACACTGTAACACGCTTCACTCTGAAACATGCAGTGCATTTATTTATTTCATTAAATCACAGACTTTGCGATATGGCTTTGTGTGTTTTATCAAATCACAAATTCAATTTTATTTCAGTTAATCATGCAGCCTTAGTCATACACATGCATGCAGTTAATATTCATTTATGAAGATATCTATGTATCCTTTATCATTCTTTATCATTGCTCATAATAGGCAGTTCACAATCATGCCGTGTTAACACAAAAGTCATAAAAACATGGGTAAAAAGGTCATCAACCAGATATGAGAAATCTTTTCCAAGATTAAGACTGATTTATGACTGAAATGAATGTAAAGTCTCAATCTAAATTCAGTCTAAAACAGAACAATATACCCTTTTCCTATACAGTGCATCCTAATCCTACACACTCTATATATATAATCAAAAGTGATTCTGACGAATGGGGATCTCGCTCGAGAGCCTATCTACTTTGAGTGTAACTAAACGAGCCAATGCACATTGGCATGCGATAATTGCACCAGCTGCTATGCATCGCAGATCATGTGTTTCTGGATGTGGCCAATGTCTGACTCCGGCTGACGATCATGATCGCTGTATCACATGCTTGGGCTATAGGTACGCTGAAATGGCGGTCATGGATGACTCATATTATCATTGTGGGAGCATGATCATCGCGGCGTTACGGTGGAGACTCCGATACCTTGAAAGAGGTGGAGCCCCTTCGCTTATTCCCCGAGGATCACAGTGAGAGGTAACCCACCGAGTCAAACTCTTCGGGTCCCTCACTCCTCTGTAACGCAGCAAACCGCGGAGCCTCCAAGAGAGCGCGCTGGTCCGTCCTAGGTGGTCCCAGTCGTTTCTTTTGGAGCTCCACCGGATGATCAGATGCCGCTGCATTGGAGGGTGAGTCACTGTCCTCTGGGGATGACGATTCGGCTGCACTGCCGCCTTCGGGTGTGTCAGCGTTGTTCGAGTCAGACCCAGAGCTCACGGCTATGCTTTCCCAGGCCGCCGCAAGTGTCAGGCTCGAGTGGAACCCTCCACCATGTCCCGAACCTTCGCGGCTGGAAAATTGGTATCTCGGGGCAGCCCGTGCTGGTTCTCAGCGCCCCGCCCCAGTGCCTTTCTTTCTGGAAGTGCATAAAGAGGTTACCAGAGCATGGACGGCACCTTTTTCTGCCCGAAACCGTTCTGATGTCTTTTCCTCCCTCACTACCCTTGACGGCGGAGCGGCTAAGGGTTACGTGGAGATCCCCCTGGTGGAGCGTTCTGTGACGATGCAACTGTGTCCAAAGACCGATACCTCCTTGCGGGGAAATCCGCCATCAGGGCTTCCCACATACATCCCACGAACCAGGTAAGTGCGGCACAACACACTCAGACTCCGCTTCGGGCCGCTTCAGTGCCTCCCGAGCCGAGTCCCTGTCTTCCACCTCGTTGCTCCATCCCGGGTACGTCTGTGGTCCCATTGGTCCCGCTTGCACGGTATCTGGGAGCCTGGCTAGTGCTTCCCAGCCCGTCTTGCTGGCTCATCCGTACCATCAGACTCGGCTATGTGATTCAGTTCGCCCTGCGCCCACCCAAGTTCAAGGGCATCCACTTCACCTCCGTGCGGAGTTGCGATGCCCGTCTTGCGGGCAGAGATCGATATCCTACTGGTGAAGGACGCGATCGAGCCGGTCCCTCCAGCCGATATGAAGACAGGGATCTACAGCCCCTACTTCATTGTACCCAAGAAAGGCGTGGGTTACGGCCAATCTTAGACCTGCGAACCTTGAATCGGGCCCTGCACAAGCTCACATTCAAGATGTTAACGTAGAAACGCATTTTCGAATGCATCCCCAAGATTGGTTTGCAGCGATCGACCTGAAGGACGCATACATCCATGTCTCAATTCTTCCTCGACACAGATCGTTTCTACGGTTTGCGTTCGAGGGATGGGCATATCAGTACAAATCTCTACTCTTCGGGCTGTCCCTGTCGCCCCGCGACTTAACGAAAGTCGCGGAGGCAGCCATTGTTCCACTCCGAGAACAAGGCGTTTGTATTCTCAACTATCTTGACGACTGGCTGATTCTGGCTCAGTCTCGAGATCAGTTGTGCGAACACAGGGACATGGTGCTCCGTCATCTCAGCCTGTTGGGGCTTCAGGTCAACTGGGACAAGAGCAGAGGAGAACTCTCCCCTGTGCAGAGGATCTCTTATCTCGGTATGGAGTTGGACTTGGCCAACCAGACAGCTCGACTCACAGAGGAGCGCGTCCGGTCAGTGTTGAACTGCTTGAGTACAATCAAGAGCAGGACAGCGGTCCCACTGAAACTTTTTCAGAGGCTACTGGGGCATATGGCATCCGCAGCCGCAGCCGCAGTAACGCCACTCGGATTGCTTCAAATGAGACCGCTTCATCACTGGCTTCACAGCAGAGTCCAGAGATGGGCGTGGCAGAGTGGCACGTACCGGATGCACATCACCCCGCACTCCCTCAAAACCTTCAGCCCGTGGTCGGACCCTAAGTTTCTACGGGCAAGTGTTCCCCTAGAACAAGTGTCCAGGCATGCGGTGGTCTTCACAGATGCCTCTGCCACCGGCAGGGGCGGGGTGGGGGGCACGTACAATGGGCATGCAATGTCAGGTCAGTGGACGGGGCCTCAACTGCATTGCCATAACAATTGCCTCGAAACTGGAAACTCCATGTCTGGTCCCTGGATGGGACGCGGAGGTTCTAGGTGACCTACGCCAGGCGGTGGTAGACACCATCACTTCTGCTAGAGCCCCCTCAACGAGGCGCCTCTATGCACTGAAGTGGAACCTGTTTTTGAATGGTGTTCTTCCCAAGGGGAAGACCCCAGAAGATGTCTGATCAGAGTTGTGCTTTCTTTCCTTCGGCTGTAGCGAAGGCTGTCTCCCTCCACCCTCAAAGTGTATGTTGCCGCTATCGCAGCACATCACGATGCAGTTGAAGGTTAGTCATTGGGAAAGCATGACCTAAAGCATGCTTTTTCATTTTGCAAGCATTTTCGGTCGACGAATCGTTTCTAGAATTCGGGCTGGACAACTCTTACGTTGTCCTAAGACCCCGGCTTGAATACGTGCCCAAGGTTCCTACCACTCCCTTCAGGGACCAGGTAGTGAACCTGCAAGCGCTGCCTTCGGCAGGCAGACCCAGCCCTGGATTTTCTCTGTCTCGTCCGCTCCTTCCGGTTATACGTGGACAGAACGCAAAGCTTTAGGAGCTCAGATCAGCTCTTCGTCTGTTACGGAGGCCAGTGGAAGGAAAAGGCAGAGGTCCATGTCTCCAAGCAGAGGATGGCCCAGTGGATGGTGGATGCCATCGCCTTGGCTTACGAAGCCCAAGGCATGCCTTGTCCGTTCAGGTTGCGAGCACACTCAACTAGAAGTGTAGCTTCCTCCTGGGAACTGCCTCAAGGCACCTTCTCTGACAGATATTTGTAGAGCTGCGGGCTGGGCGACACCTAACATGTTCCCTAGATTCTAGAGCCGGTATCTTCCAGTATACTCGCCCACAGTGGCCAGTAGCGCCAAGGACCCGTTCTTAGTGTCGGCTTGCAACGCCCGCCCCGCTGGGCTGGATATGTGCGTCTATTTGCAGCAGTGGCGTTTTGGTAGATATCCCCATTCGTCAGAATCTCTTTTGCCATACGTAATAGTGAGCTGACGAAGGGGAACGTCTCGGTTACGTATGGTAACCCTCGTTCCCCCGAGGAAGGGAACAGAAAACGTGTATCCCCTCGCCACAGTTTCTGAGCTTCCGTTGTACGGCTGAGTCACAAGTCCGGCTCCTCAGCGGAAAAACAAGGATGCGATGCACCTTCTGCTCATTATATGCTTGCGCCGCAATGCACAGCAGCTGGTGCAATTATCGCTGTTTCATTGTCCTGTTCATACGGCTGACTGCAGTGGACGTTTGCGGTTTCGAACCGCTGTATTGGCCGAGCTCTTTAACGACTTCTGCCCTAATTGGTCTGTATGAAAGGTGTTGAAGTATTGGACATGCGTGTTTTATGGGCTGTTAAATTAAACTAACACGCTAGTATTTTGGTCCATCAAAGCAGCCTGAACGATCTTAAATATTATTAGTTGTGATATTAAATAGTGACATTTTGATTGTTTATGTAATCTTTTCTCATTTTTTTTGTTTCCCTTTCTTTGGTATTTCATTTGTTTGCCAGTGTATATCCGCATGTGATTTATTTGAATGGTGATACTGAGGCTTAGCAGAAGAGGATAGTGTATTTGTTTTCTTTTGGTATTGTTTCTTTATTTTGTTTATCACTTGCTTTAAAAACCTTTATTCACTAATTTGCTGTGTGGTGGTTTGTCCCTTCTGTTAAAGTTGGTTAATTCGGTCTCTTTATCAACTGTGGGTATTTAATTGGTAAACTGTGTACGCAATCTATTTTTAGGACGCTTTAAAATGAATGTTTCCTGTGTAAAATAAACTTTGTATACTTTTGGAAGTCACGTCTCTGTCTTTGACGCAATCCGAACCAGCAGGGTCCTTCATATTGTTGTAATCCTTTTGGGTATATTTCTTTTTGGGGTATTTTGTTTATTTTTTATACTTTCCTGGGTGGAGAAGTAACCTAGGTGGCATAGTCTGGTTTTTTAATATTTATCCAAAGGTTACATATGCGTGATTTGTGTGTATGTGTTTGTTTAGATCAGTTATGTGTTCATTATTTAGTTCAATAAAAAAATGTGTACACATTCATGTGAGTTTGATTCTGGTCCCTGCTTGTAAATCAATGCCACTTTAACGATGCGATCACAGCTACATGCTAAGAAAAATTCATTTTTCTGTGGTCACGAAAAATCTCCTTTCTGAGAGTTGATGTACGATCAATACCGAGTGTTCGCTGGACGATCATATTAATTGATTGTGATAATAATTCAGCTATATTAAGTTAATTTTATTAACTGATAAATTATAACAAGTTATTCATATTTCCCTTTTGAGCTACTTTGCAACACCACACAGTCCAAACTAACCCACCATATATGAAAATCCATGTCTAGACTTTTGTCTTACCAATGAAGTTTCTGCAACGGTGGTGCTCCTCAGCTTGTTTCCAGTTCTTGGGGAAGCTGACCAGAACTGCATTGTGGCGGAGGCCACCTAGACCTCCAGCTTGGATCAGATGTGAGGTGGCGTCCCGCAGGTTAGAGGAGATCACTACCTGACTGAATCCCTTCACCTTCTCAATCTCCATCAGCTTCCTTAGGGACTAAGACAGATAGAGGTTATTATATTAGTACCATGTACGAATGGCTCATTGCCTCGTGTGTGGCTTCAGGAGTTGTGTGTGTGTGTGTGTGTGTGTGTGTGTGTGTGTGATTGCGTACTTGGTCTGCTTTCTGTGCTTGTGGTTGGTTGTTTAAGTAGGTGCCCTCCACACACGCTCCTACGATGGTCAAGCCTTTGCCTGCTTTCAGCTGATTGGTCAGCGACAACAGTCGAGGTTGCTCCACGTTCTGCTCTCCATCCAAACCCATAAGAACAAGAATCTGGGGCCTGGAATATTGAAAACATTATGAATTTTGATTAACATTTTAATTCATTCTCAATATGTTGGAAGAATGCAGTTTGACATGTGATATACTGCATGCCAACATTTGTTGTGTTCACAGGCATATTACTGATCCACCACTAACCTCCAGTTTTTAGTGTGAGGAGGACCTTGCTCCAGCCTCATCAGAGCATAGCGGGCGGCACTCAGAGATATGCCACGTATCCCATCGCCCCACTCTTTCTCTGCCCTACAAAGATGGAACACACAGTCAATAGTCAATTTAGCGCTTTAAATCCCACCTTGTTTTTGTCTAAATTTGGTTAAATTGTAGTGTTGGAACTTGAACATTTTATTGTGTTCTATTGATCAATTTCAAATATTTAAATTTAAATACAAGCACGCCATTTGATAAAAATAATTTTTTGTGGATCAGGGGCTTCAAACTAGGGACTTAATTTATAACTTTGTAAAATGAGATATTACATATGTTTAACACAACAATTTGATTATTTTTTAATTCAGCTTTTTCTGAGATTAATTCACTTTTTTATTATATTGACATCAGTTCTTAAAAAGAAATAAATTAAGGTGGATATATTTAATATTATTAATAAATATTGCTGTCAACCTAATCAAAATTTATCATACTTATCTGACCGTTATCAGTTTGTAGCAATAAATGAAGAGATGTCTTATCGATCACAAGTTCAGTATGGCGTACCACAAGGCTCAGTACTAGGACCGCTGCTGTTCACTCTGTCCACCATTAGGAGATATCATTAGGAAACATGGAATTAGCTTTCACTGTTATGCCGATGATACTCAGCTGTATATTTCTTCAAAACCCAACGAAACTTACCAATTCACAAAATTAACAGAATTCATAGCTGATATAAAAAAATTGGATGACTAGTAATTTCCTACTACTAAATTCTGAAAAAACAGATATTCTAATTATTGGACAAAAAACTTCCACACGTAATAACCTAGAATACTGTCTAACACTTGATGGTTGCTCTGTCAAGTCTTCGTCGTCGGTTAGGAACCTGGGTGTGCTCTATGATACCAATCTTTCATTTGAAAGTCACGTGTCTAGTATCTGTAAAACCGCATTTTTCCATCTAAAAAATATATCTAAATTACGCCATATGCTCTCATTAACAAATGCAGAACAATCTGTTCATGCGTTCATGACATCAAGACTAGATTACTGTAATGCTCTACTGGGTGGTTGCCCTGCACGCTTAATAAACAAACTACAGCTAGTTCAAAACGCAGCAGCTCGAGTTCTTACCAGAACCAGGAAATATGACCATATTAGCCCGGTTCTGTCAACACTGCATTGGCTGCCTATTAAACACCGTATAAATTTTAAAATATTGCTCATTACTTACAAAGCACTAAATGGTTTAGCTCCGCAGTACTTGAGCGAGCTCTTAACGCATTATAGTCCTTCACGCCTATTGCGTTCTCGAAATTCCGGCCAGTTGATAATACCTAGAATATCAAAATCAACTGCTGGCGGTAGATCCTTTTCCTATTTAGCACCAAAACTCTGGAACAATCTTCCTAACATTGTCCGAGAAGCAGACACACTCTGTCAGTTCAAATCTAGACTAAAAACACATCTCTTTGGCCTAGCATACACATAACTCACTATAGACTTCCTTAATTCAAAATTAGGATCAGCCGGAACCAGGAACACGTCCCGTAAATCCTGATGTCCTTGGTACATCATAAGAAGCGTCTACGCTAATATTAGTCTCTCTGTTTATCCCGAGGGACCCTCTATTGTGGACCTGCGCCTGGACCCATCCCAACTCATCCTGAAGTGCCAGCCTCATTAGCCCTGTGAAGGCCTCATCGACACGACAGCCATCGGCACTGATCCTCAACAACTCGTCTCCATACCGGCGTGATTACTTCGACTTCCAAACAGAAGGAAATGGATAAATACTCTAAATGTTCCTATCAAATCTGACTTGTAACGCTGCCCGAATCATACACTGTTCCTTCGTTGGCCAGATGAGAACTGGCCCCCGACTGAGTCTGGGTTCTCCCAAGGTTTTTTTCTCCATTCTGTCACCTGATGGAGTTTTGGTTCCTTGCCACTGTAGCCTTGGCTTTTGGCTTGCTTAGTTGGGGACATTTAATATTCAACAATATTATTGATCTGCCTTACTTAAGGTGGACGTTGATGCAATTTTCTTCTAGAAACAAACTTTGTTGTATTATTTTCATGTTATCACTGTGAAGCTGCTTTGATACAATCTGTAGTAAAAAGCGCTATATAAATAAAGGTGACTTGACTTGACATTTTAAATGTATTAAAACAGAAAACAGTAATAATTGCAATAATATTTCACAACATTACTGTTTTTCTGTATTTTACTGCATAAGCATAAGTTTATAAAAACAATAATACATCTTACCAACCCCACACTTTTAAAGATTAGTGTAAATACTTGATCATATTTTAATCATTTACTTTGGCTTTAGTACATTATAACAGACAATATAAAATCAAATAACTGAATTCTGGAAACATGTTATCCTTATAATACCATGCTTAATATTTATCTCAAACGGTACTAAAGGGTCTTTATACAGTACATGAAAATAAAATCTTATTTGGAAGGCCAAAGGTTAAAAACACCTGGATTAGGTAAAAATCATTAATCCGTGTCTTCCACTAATAATCATCTAAAACTACAGTATATACACTTACTGTGAATAATTACTCAGCCACATTCACCAGGCCTTTAAATAAATCCTCTAGCAAAAAGAAAAAAACTGTACAGACAATAATGCATTTTCTGCCAAGAGAGAGATTGATTTAGGTTGTGTGAAAATCATTAGTTTTTTTTCCTTTTTTGTCAAGTCGCTTCCCCCTGAGGCTCATTTAGGTTCGCTTACCCGCAGAATTCGATGTACTTATAGATGCAGCCGGCGATCACCATGGCAATGATGGCGTAGTACCAGGAGCAGAGGAACATCAGGGTAAGACACAAGCTCATGCCCAAGAGTGACAAAGCCCTGGAGAAAGATCATAGTCTATCTCATGCTCATTTGTCCAGCAATTGCTCAAAGTTACATAAATTTTGGTGTCAGCTATGCTTACACTAATTACGATAACTGCCACAGGTGACTATATTCTTAGAGGTGGAAGGACTTAATTATGTGGTGGGATGTCTGTAGGCTTCACTTCAACATTTAACATTAAAGATTACGACTAGACGTTTAACATTCATCCACTCAAACCAATCATTTTGTATACAAACATACTTTCCGTCACTGACGCAAACCTAAGGGAGCAGGAGTTTGTGTGTGTTTGTACATGTGTAATTATGTACCAGTGGTAGAATTTAAAGCGTGGCCTCCAGTTCGGGGTCCTGAGGAGAGTCTGCAGCGCACAGGCCAGGTTTACAAACATGTAGCACATGAGAAAGAACCTGTGGGGGTAAACAGAGCAAAACTCTATATGTAATATTGAGAAAATACTTCCCCTTGGAAGTTTTTATGCTTTGTTTTGAAGCAATGAACCACTATTTATTTACTTACGTACTTAAAATATATTTATGTTTATCAATGGAAAGTAATTTTGTCAAACTGAACATGAACATAAGTTGCGTTGTTTCTGCACCATGCGCGAGTATCATTGGTTTTGCTATTCACAGAATTAAGATATGCTGTTGTTGTAATGTAGCCTAGCTATAGAAACAGGACAGTTTTGAATGTCATTGTTTGTCTGGAGCTGGTGTGCTCAGGCGACTAACAACCAACTCTTGCTTGTATATATTGCTTAATTGTGTGCTGTGTGTTCCTTGTTGTTCATTCATCATCTTTGCTTTATTTTTTGCGAAGCATTAGTTCTTCCCTTTAGCTATGATAAAGAGACATTCTGCATTTAAGGGGGGGACAATAAAGGGAGGGGTGTGTGTTTATTCGGGTTGATTTCAAATATCAAAAAGTGTTTCTCAGAAATTGCTTACTGCACTTTAACTGGTAGTTGTGTCTGTTAGTGAGAGCTCTCAGTACTCATAAGAGAGCCCAGTCATTCCATGGATATAATTTTAACAATTTCCCTGTGCCAGTGTCTCACAGTAGGAGGCTTGGTCTTGATCCACTGGAGTAAAACACATCTTCTTGCAACTAAACGAAGATTATATAATAGTTTTTGGCATGTGTTTGTTAGTGGCATTCCATCTGAGATATTCAATAAACAAATCTTGCACCATTTTTATCTCCTCAATAAAAATAAAGATTTTGTTATTTTTTCAAAGAGACTCAGGAAATATTTAAAAATAATAATCATCAATTGTTTTCCCATTAAAAATAATATTTTGAAAAATATTTAAAAATAACATTTTAAAATATGATATAAATATTTATTTATTATATTAAATTAAAATGTATATTAAAATACTTATATAAAATAATATAATCAAAGAAACTAATATTTTTAAATAATATATAATAAAATAAGTAAAATAAGGTCTGTGGTAAAAAAAAAAAAAGTGGTATATGCCATATAACATATGGTAACCCTTGTTCCCTGAAGGAGGGAACGGAGATGACACGTCTTAGGCTGACGAACAGAAATCCTGCTAGAGAGGCCAATCTACTTCGAGTGAATCTAAACGAGCCAATGCACATTGGCGTGCAATCATTTGCAACTGCTGCTCTGCCACGCAGAGCGGATATATAACGAGCAGCAGGTACGATTGCACTTCAGTTTTTTGTTGAGGAGCCGAGCCGATGAGCTGGCTGCCCCGGCGGGCCGCAGCAGATGTGGCGACAGGACGTGCCGTCTCAGTTCCCTCTCTCGAGGGTTACCACTGAAGCCAGTGCTGAAGCGGGTTCATATGGTGCAGCCCGAGCGGAGTTACCGCTGCTGCTGCTGCTGCCATATGCCCCAGGAGCCTCTGAAAAAATTTCAGTGGGACTACTGAACATGTTCAAGCAGTTCAGCACCGACTGAGCGCGTTCCTCTGTGAGGCGCGCTTGTCTGTGCGACCAAATCCAACTCCATACCGAGAAAAGAGATCCTCTGCATGGGGGAGAGTTTGCTCTTTTCCCAGTTGACCTGAAGACCCAACTGGCTGAGGTGCCTGAGCACAAGGTCCTTGTATTCGCATAACTGATCTCGAGAGTGTGTTGTAGTATGAGCCAGTCGTCGAGATAGTTGAGGATGCAAACGCCCTGATGTCTCATTGGAACAAGGGCCCCCTCTGTGACTTTCGCGAAGACAAGGGGAGACAGGGACAGCCCGAAGGGCAGGACCTTGTACTGATATGCTCGACCCTCGAACGCAAAGCGCAGAAACAGCCTGTGTCGAGGAAGAATCGAGACATGAAAGTATGCGTCCTTCAGGTCGATCGCTGCAAACCAATCTCGGGGACGGATGCATTCGAAAATGTGTTTCTGCGTGAGCAATTTGAATGGTAGCTTGACAAGGCTCCGATTCAGAACTCACAGGTCCAAGATTGGTCGTAACCCACCACTTTTCTTGGGTACAATGAAGTAGGGGCTGTAGTACCCTGACCTCATATCGGCTGGAGGGACTGGCTCTATCGCGTCCTTCGCCAGTAGGACTGCGATCTCCGCTCGCAAGACATGGGGATCGGCTCCTCTCACTGTAGTGGAGTGGATGGCCCAAAACTTGGTGGGACGCCGGGCTAACTGAATCGCATAGCCGAGCCTGATGGTCCGAATGAGCCAGCGAGATGAACTGGGGAACGCTAACCAGGCTCAAAGAGATCGTACAAGCGGGACCAAAGGGACCGTAGGCGTACCCGCAGTGAGGTGGAATGCAGGTCCGGAGGCTCTCTCTGGGAGGCGGCCAGTGGCAGGGTCTGAGTGTGCTGTGCAACACTTACCTGGTTCCACGGGACATGAGGCGCAGGAGGAGGCTTGGCTGTGCTCTCGAACTGCACGCTGCTGCCCGCTGGCGATAGAAGCGGCGGATGAGAGTGGTCAGGATTCTCTCCTCCCACTACTCTCCGGGCCCTCTTCGGACCTAGAGATGGGCGAAACTGCTCTTTTATTGAAAATTTGGGTACCGCTGGTTTTGACGCCAGCGGCGGAACACAAACAAAAGGGAAAACAAGATTTTCCACCCGGCCCTCTTCCGGGGGAGGGAGAGGTGCGGCCACCATCTCCTGAAGAGCAGTCCCATCCATCTTCGGGGCTTTGCAGCCCCTCTTGGCGGGGGGCGGGACGGCCTGCCTGCGACTGGTGCCTCGGTGCGGGAGCGAGGGCAGTTGCAGGAGGATGCCCTCGGCGACGAGTAGACTGAGGAGCCGCGGGTGGTTAGATGGAGGCAGCAGCTGACCGCCGCGGCAGGATGTGCTTTATTGCCTCAGTCTGCTTCTGCCGCCAAAGAGGCAGGTCTGGGACACGGGGGAGATAAGGAACCTGACTTTGTCGGTCTCCCTCATGTCTGCCAGACACAGCCAGAGATGGCGTTCCTGGACCACCATAGTGGACATCGCACGACCCACCGACCGCGCGGACACCTTCGTCGCACGAAGCGCGAGGTCCGTCTCGGCATGAAGTTCTTGGAGAACTTGAGGATCATGACCACCCTCATGCAGGTCCTTCAGTACCTTGGCCTGATGAACCTGCAACAACGCCATGTCGTGTATGGCAGAAGTGGCTTCCCCATAGGCCTTGTAAGCCTTGCCGGTTAAGTCTGACGAGTGCTTACAGGCCCGGGAAGGGAGATACGGTTCTCCGTGCCAGGTGGAGTTAGGGCACAGTTGCATAGCAACAGCCCGCTCCACTGGAGGGATGCGCATGTAACCTTTAGCCGGTCCGTCATCAAGGGTGGTGAGGGAGGAGGAGCCACCGGGACGGTTTCTGGCAGTGAAAGGTGCCTTCCATGACCCAGTGAGCTCCTTTTGCACCTCCGGGAAGAAAGGAACCGGGGTGGGTTGCTGAGAACCAGCAAGGGCGACCCCGAGAAACCAATCATCCAGCCTCGAGGACTCGGGACACGGTGGAGGGTTCCACACGAGCCCGATCCTGTTGGTGGCCCGGGAAAGCATGGCCATTATCTTCGGGTCTGACTCGGGGAACGCTGCCGTATGCGTATGGCAAGCCAAAGTATTCATAAACGCCTGGTCAGGCGTCTGATTGCACACTGACCCGTCAAAAGCATGCGGGGACGTGCGATTTGCCATAAAAGCGCGGGTTCTTAACGTGCACTTTGTGGTCACGGAAAACGCGAGTCAGAAACTCGTGGTTTTTGCAGAAAAAAATAAAATGTATGAAACCTTATTGTAAAGTGTTACCGGAATTACAACTGGAAAATTTGCGAGATGTGTCTGAACGAAGGGATTAAGGGACTGTCCGAGGTGCTGAAATAAAAAACAGTGAACGTGAAACCGAGAGTTGTTTTTCTTTTCTTGTTACAAAAACACTTCTGATGCATAAAACACCTGCAGACAGAAACAATCTCATTTAAACAGCAGATCACACGTCGAGGATGCACGTTTTGATGCAAAAACCGCGCGTTTCTGACGTGCGTTTTCCGTGACCACAAAGCGCACGTTGAGAACGCGTGCTTTTATGGCAAATCGCGAGTCCCTTGGCAGTCGAAACGCACGCGTTTGACGAGTCAATCAGACGCCTGATCGCGTCTGTCGCGACCGTGTTGCTTCCATTATGAGCGCGTACATTTGAAATAACAAACTTGAGCGCGCAAAAGACGCGATATGTGAACGGGCCCTTAAGTCTTTGTCTTTCTAAGACATGGTGTTCATGTGAACAATGCGCCTCGTCCCCTCTCCTTGCAAGGGTGTCAAAGTCTGGACAAAATATGTACAGTGACATGACATAACTGCCAGATTCAAACTGTGCGCTTGCGCGCTGGCTGGCGCTGAGCCAGAGATGGACGCGCTCAGCACTTGTCATATATCATATTAAGTGTTCGGCGGGCTGTATATGGCCAAACTTAATTCATTATTATTATTATTCTTATTATTAAAATAAAAAATTTAAATTGTTTTTATTAATCTGATTGGGTGGGCCACCTGTCCATCTGGGTGGCCCGCCCATAAATAAAAAAAGATGGCCGCCAACAGGTTTCGATTCTCTTGACGCGCGAATGGATTCAAAGTGGTCAAGCGTATAACTAGACGCGGTAGGCGCGAATTTGACGCGCTATTCGCGTCCGGTGTGAACGTAGCATAAGAACAGCCTTTTTGTTTTGCTCAGTGACAAACAGAAACACAAAAAGACAGAAAGAGAGAGAGAGAGAGAGAGAGAGAGAGAGAGAGAGAGAGAGAGAGAGAGAGAGAGAGAGAGAGAGAGAGAGAGAGAGAGAGAGAGAGAGAGAGAGAGAGAGAGAGAGAGAGAGAAAGAAAGAAATCGACCCGCTGCCGCGCTGTATCGCCCGCACCAGACGTGAGAGATCCTCCTGGAGAGCTCGCTCATTTAATATAAACACTCAATGAAGAGAACAGCATCAAAACGCTTGGCTCCGAAGCAAAAAGCTGAAGTGCAATTGCACCTGCTGCTCGTTATATACCCACATTGCGTTTTAGAGCAGCTGTTGCAAATGATTGCATGCCAATATGTATTGGCTCGTTTAGTTTCACTCGAAGTATATTAGCCTCTCTAGCGAGATTCCTATTCGTCGGTCTCGACGAGGCGTCAACTGAAGAGGAACTTGATGATACTTGAACGTTTTGTTCAACAATGTAAACTGCACACAACGTCACGTCATGTTCACCACAGACCGTACTTAAAACTCTATTATAAAAACCTATAGGAAAATCTCAAGGGAACCACTTCCGGGTTTTGATGTCATCCCTGCGGCACTTTATTGAAGAACAGGCTTTTGGAAAATAGGCTATTCAGCATAGTGAAGAAGTTTTATTACAGCAATAAGTGAGTGGAAACTTATTGCTGTTGTTTCTCTGGGAATCATAAAGAATGATGAGCGCTGTGTGCGTTTGGGTAGTTGCTTACTTACATTGACAGAATGGGTGCAACCGAATCCAGGGAGGCAATGATAATGCCAATCTCACAGATGCAGCCCGTCAGGAGGAGAGCCCATGTAGGTTCACCGTTAGCTTTGCCATGGCCAAACACCTATAAAATGAAGAAATACCACTTAGTATGATCAAGTATGGAAGCATCAACAGAGAGATAATCAGAGGGCAAACATATACATGTACCCTGAGGAAAGGAATGATGCCATCCCGGGAGATAGCTTGAAGGAGGCGGGGCGCTCCTGTCAAACTCTGAAGCCCTGCCCCACAGGTGGAGAAGAAGGAGCCAAACACAATGACCCAGGGCGAAGGCCATGCCAGGGTGCCAATAACCAAGTTACCGTTCACGCCTTCCCCAAATCTGCATTTAGAACAGAGTTGATATTGTTAACTAATAGCATTCAATAAATTCTTGTTAATTGAAATAAGGCTGAAATAATATACAAAGATTAGATTAAAAACTTTAAAAGCCTAAAAAATTCAATTAGAAATGCCACCTTGGCAATTAACTAAAATAAAATAAAGTTGAAATACTCAAATTGCTAAAACTAAAAATGAAATTAAATAAATTAAAGCTAAACAGAAATATTTAAACGAAGGACTAATAAACATGGCAAAAGCACATAACAAAATTCAAAACTGAAAATATGAAAATAAAAGCTAATCCAAAATTTTAATAAATACTAGAGTAGTATAAAAACAATACTAAAATAACACTAGTTTAAAAATAAAATGTGTTTTGTTTTTATGTGGAAATTATTTTAATTAAATTGATCTGAACTGCACTGACTGAAATCAAAGTTTTAATTGGAGGCTATACTGAATCTAAAGTAAATCAAAAGTACAACCAGGGTTATTATAACTAAAACTAAAATCTTAAAAAAATAACACTTAAAATAAAATATAACAATTTTTAAACTTATTTTACTTCAGCTAGTTTGTCAGCATGGACCATTTTCACAGACTGATGATGCGTTTTAACAGCAACATCGCAAATCCTGCAAAGTGTTTTATAAATATATATATATTTTTTTTAATGTATGTACATTTATAACACTATACTTTGTATTATATTACCTTTTCATCAAATTACAAGAAACTAGTTAACGCTGCTGTGGGAGTGACTTTAAAATTTACATCTTTCTCCCTTCTGACTGTAGTTATCAATCTCTCCCTATTTTTTACCTCTTTTTGAAAGTTGTGAAAACACTATTGTGAATTTCTCTTTTGCTATTTGAGCAAATGGGAACACACAAAATATATTTAATTTAGTCTCATTCATTGCTCATTCACTGCTATAGAAGTTTACCCAACTATGACGACTTCCGCTTCTGAGAAACCCGGAAATGTGAAAAGGGTCCATTATGTTTAGTTGTCTTTTGTCTTTCCCATGTGTTTGTTTCTTGTGTCTCAGTTCAGTTTAATCTTGATTAGTCCCTAGTTAGTTCCCTTGGTTACTAATTACATTCACCTGTCAGTCATTTGTTCCCTTATTGCTCCCAGTGTATTTAAACCCTTAGCTTTCTTTATTCATCATTCTGCATCGTCTTTAGTTTTGTTGGTTGTGTTATATGCTCTATTCCAGGTAATCTCCTGTGTTTTTGGATTTATTATTAAAGATTTTCTGTTTATGCTCTTATGTCGTGCGCTTCATTACAGCCACATTTCTCATTTTCATTTAAAGTTGAAGTACTAAAATAAATTAAAGTAAATAAATCTATATAGACATATTTAAAATAAAATAAAAAATACTAAAACTTTAACCAAAATTAAAATGAAGAAAGAAAAAAATCTCATTTAAAAATTAACAAAACTATAATAGAACGTGTCTGTGATATTAAAATAACACTGACTAGAAGTACAGACTCACTTGTCCCTCAAAACGACTCCGTCAACACAGGCTCCGAACAGAATCACACTAGACATGTCTGCGAGAGCAAAAATTGAGGAGAACGACACAAAGCAGCAAAAAGACATTCATACTATTTCAGCTATTTTACCACAGATGAAAAATATCAAGTCTTTTAATTTTATCATTGTCGTTTCCAAATTACACTGTATTTTGTATTTCAAGATGTGCAGTTCTGCACTGTGTCATTTATTTAAGCAAAGCTGGAGCGGTTTTGCCTTTGGAGTAAAGGATACAGATGATTGAGGTGGTTGTGATGGCCAGGATGGTCCCAACAGGGATGGACTTCTGAGCATCCTGCAGGTCACCAGAACGGTTGGAACCAGCCATGATACCTGTGACATACACACAAACATTATGTCAGAAAACACTGGGTCTGTTTGTGGATCAGGTTTTTTTTTTTTTTTTAAACTTTATAGCCTGGGAAAACCCAGACAACTTCCGGCAAATTTAGATTTGCTCTGAAAGTTAGTCTGGCAAAGAGCTCATTCAAGCTCATTTCCAATCCGTCGAAATCGAGGCACCAATCAGATACGTTGGGGCGGCTTTACACGATGACGACAGCGCTGGGATTTTGAAGCAGATTTTGTAGCCTACATTACAAAGATGGATGCCACCGTCGAACATCACTCGTTCGAATCAGCTATCGCGTCTGTTTTAAGCGATTTGAACATTTCCTTTTTGTTAAAAACCGAGCAAAGAACAACACTCGGAGATGTTTCTCCGCCGCTCTGCATACGTCATCTCCTTCATCACTCTGATTGGGTTTAGGTCTATCCGCGACGTCCGTTGGTGACGCCCCTCTGGAAATGATTTGTCTATGACGCTTTGCCAGACCATAACTCAGTTACAACTGAGAATGGTCTGGTTTTAACCAGGCTAAAAACTTTACACACAAATCCAAGAATTGCACAAAAATTGCAAAATGCCTCACATCTATTGCAAACATTTGTCTTACATTGCAAACACCTTTGCCATAATATTATATTTTTAAATATATCATATACACACAGTTATTCAAAACCTAAAGCTCTTCTTTCATGAGCTCCTATGTACATTTCCATACAAGATTGAAAGTAATTGGCAGAGAGATGTAGAGAAATTCACGGCAAACACGAAAGCAAGATTGAAACCTAACTATTTATTTTTTTACAGGCATTTGTGGTTGTGAATACAGTTTTACACAGTCCAAAAAAACCTATAACTTGACCTTTGTCCTATTTATATGCCTATTCTAAGGTTGGTGTTAAACAAAGCAATGGGTGTTTGTTTGCACATGTGAGGAGTTGGTGTGAGGCACTGATGAATTAAAATCAAGATACTTCCTGTTAGATTTTTGTGTGGTACATAGAGAATTGTGTGTTGTGGTTTGCAAAAAGTGTTTCATGAAATTGAAAACTGAGTCGAAGGCTGAGAATTAGTGTATGGTTTTGCAGATTTGGTGTGTGGTTCTGGTGTTTGAGTTCGGGTTTCAGAAATTGTGTGACAAGTAAGGATTTTGTGTGTAAGCAGTTGAAAAAAAACTGTAATTATAATTATTCCCCTAGTAGTTATGGAACGGTTGTACTGACCTGTGACAGAGGGGAAGTAGATGCCAACCAGCAGGGTGAAGAAGCTGGTGATGTCAGCGAGGACATATCGGTTAGTGTTGGTTAGTGGAGCCTCAGGGTCGAGTACTGCAGCTATACCTCGTTTCTCTACAAATGTATTTTTCTCAGCAAACATGCTGAAAAGGTTTTCTGTGAAGAGGAAAAAAGATTCACAATTTTTTAAAAACAAAATGACATCAAATACAGAATCAGTACATTTTTTGAACATTAAAGCTCAACAATAACATTACTGGTATACTCAAGCATTTCAAATATTCAAATGGGGTTCGAAATTTGTAAAATAATAGTATGGACATTTTTTCAACATCATTATTTTAAGTTCATTTTATATATGCAAATGTTTAAGAGTCTATGATTGGATCATTATTGTCGTGATAACTTTCTAGCATGTTATATGTTTGGAACAGTTCTTTTAATCCTAATTGATGGAGTGTGTAGCTTTTCATTTCTTAAACAATCATGTAGGAAGACAAGATCTTGACCAAAAATTGATGCGCCTCTTGGTGGAAATAAATGTTGTGATGTTATTTCCATCAAGAGGTGCATCAAGTTTTCTTCAAGATCTTGTATTACAATACAAGAGTCAAGCACTCTGTAAAGTCTCCTCCAGGACATCCCAAAGATTTTTAAGGAATTTCAGGTCTGGACTCAGAGGTGCCAATTCATGTGTGAAAATTATTCTTAAAGCTCCCTCACAACCATTCTTTCACAATTTGAGCCTGATGAATCTTGACATTGTCATAATGGAATATGGTCATGATGTGTCTTCCTACATGGTTGTTTAATAAATGAAAAGCTACACACTCCATCAATTACAGTTAGAAGAACTGTTGCCAAACATATAACATGCTAGAAACATAATAATTACTGCAATAATGATCCAATCATAGACTCTTAAGCATTTGTCTATTTAAATATGTTGGCCGGGCAGTGTGTGTCTATTTAATTTGCTTCTATGTTGAAACAATTTTGATATTGTATTAATTCAAAGTATGAGGAAAATATTTAAATTTTTAAATATTTTAAATATGAGGGAAGAACAAAACTACGGAGCCCCCCTGGTCCCACTTTGTCAAAAAAAAAAAATTATAACTATCTCATGGCCTCAAGATAGTAACTCGTGGCCTCAAGATAGTAACTCGTGGCCTCAAGATAGTAACTCGTGGCCTCAAGATACTATCTCGTGGTCTCAAGATAGTAACTCGTGGCCTAGAGATAGTATCTCGTGGTCTCAAGATAGTAACTTGTGGCCTCAAGATAGTAACTCGTGGCCTCAAGATACTATCTCGTGGTCTCAAGATAGTAACTTGTGGCCTCAAGATAGTAACTCGTGGCCTCAAGATAGTATCTCGTGGCCTCAAGATAGTAACTCGTGGCCGCAAGATAGTATCTCGTGGCCTCAAGATAGTAACTCGTGGCCTCAAGATAGTCTCTCGTGGCCTCAAGATAGTAACTCGTGGCCTCAAGATAGTATCTCGTGGCCTCAAGATAGTAACTCGTGGCCTCAAGATAGTATCTCGTGGCCTCAAGATAGTAACTCGTGGCCTAGAGATAGTATCTCGTGGTCTCAAGATAGTAACTTGTGGCCTCAAGATAGTAACTCGTGGCCTCAAGATACTATCTCGTGGCCTCATTGAGTTTGTGCGCGTTCACACTGAGAATCATATGCATCATGTACTGTGTGAGCATGCGTCTTATATGAGTATGTGCATGGAGAGTTTGTGTGTGTGTGCGTGTCTCATATGAGTATGTGCGTGAAAAGTTCCGCGCATCTCGTGTGTGTAGAGTTTGCGTGTATGTGCGTGAGTGACTTTAGGTGTGTCGTTGTGCATTTCATATGTATTTTGTTTGAGCATTCAGCAGTATGTATGTTTGACTACTAAGTATATGTGTATGCACGTGTTTCATATATGTGTGCGTGAATGAATTTTGATTTAAGCCCTAGACGGCGCCTCATACGTCACGATTCGATACATATCACGATACTGAACTCCCAATACAATATTATTGCGATACTCCAAGACATGTTAAAAGGTGAACAAAAAATGAATTGTTGATTAAAATGCTAAATGTTTTTACATTGTGTGTGTAAATGAATAGGCTTGAACTTGGTGCTGGAAACACAATGCACAGGACAATAGAGACACCAGAATAACAATATTCATGATTCTAAAGCTGAAAATACAGAATTATTATTTTAGACGAATATGCTTTCAATCTTCACAGACTAGATGTATTTAAAATAATTTCAGTCAATTTGTACTGGTAACATTAGACATTTGGCATTATCAGGACACACAAATATTCCTCCATTGCATTATTATACACTATATTCAATATTATAGTAGTTTAATGTAGTACTGACACTTAAACTCTGAAAACTTTCTCACACAGTAATTATTATTTTGGGTGAACTATCCACGATACATATTGTCACTATCCACGATACATATTGTCACTATCCACGATACATATTGTTGCATTTTTGTATTGCAATAAAATTGTGACACGATATATTGTTACACACCTAGAACACACTAACTTAAAGCATACACACACAAACTCTACGCGCACATACTCATATGAGACGTGAGCACACACACACAAACTCGCGCACATACTCATATAAGATGCATGCTCACACAGTACATGATGCATATGATTCTCAGTGTGAACGGAAGTCATTTCAGTGTGATTGGAAGATTTACATTACCGTATTATAACAGAATTGTACGGTGATGAACAGTACTAGTAAATACATAGAAGCAAAACTGCAGTGAACTATATTGCACACTGAATATCAAAACAGAGAATATTGCACAGAATGTGAAGTATTGCACTACAGGGTCCAGTTTAATAACAAAGGGTTCATGTGTCAGACACTTTACTATCTTGAGGCCACGAGTTACTATATTGAGGCCACGAGTTACTATATTGAGGCCACGAGTTACTATATTGAGGCCAGGAGTTACTATCTTGAGGCCACGAGTTACTATCTTGAGGCCACGAGTTACTATCTTGAGGCCACGAGATAGTTATAATTAATTTTTTTGACAAAGAGGGACCAGTGGGGCTCTGTACAAAACACTATACATAGTTAAGGTATTTATCTGACAAAATGATTTGCCAAAAAATGGCCAACTACAGCTACAGGGTTTATTTTACTATGCAAAAAAGAAAACTGCATAGAAAAACAAAAAGCTCACAGGAAAATTGACTCCAAGCGCAACAACTACACAATATGCTTACACAATCTTTTCAAATCTTTTGTCAAAATGCTTACAAAGACAATAATTATACACTGTTGTCTCTACACTACAAAAATACACTATCATTCAAATATCGTTTCATTTCGTATGCTAACCAAGGCTGCATGTATTCAATCAAAAATACTATAAATAGAGTAAAGTAAATAATACATTAAGATTGTGAAATATTACAATTTAAAATTATTGACATGCTTAATATTTTTTTTGTGGAAACCTTTAAAGAAAAGATAGTTCAAAAGAACATAATTTAATTGAAAAAGTATTAAAAGTATTATTTATAATACTTCAATGTCTGTAAGTCCTCTAACCTGCCAGGATGCCACTGGTGACTCCAGGGATTCCCTGGATCTGGCTAACGTTGTTGTTGGTGAAGTAATCATCGCAGGTGGCGTTCAGGAACTCTGAGTCACAGAAGGCTCTCCAAAGCTTGGTGGTGACCGTGCCATTTCCCTTCTCTATGGTCTTGGCACAAATGTCAAAGCTCTTCGACACAAGAGTTCGGTTCCCGAGCACACACACCCTATACAGGATAAGGTCTGTATGATTATGGACGCTCTGTGCCCTAAAGGAACATTCTGAATCCCAAAAAGTTCTACTTACGGAAAGTCAGGTGGATCAAAAGCTGTCTTGATGACCCCGGCGTAGACAGCGAGAATGGAGAGAATGACGCAGGCGAGGAACACAAGGGCCAACTTGTTGACGTACTTCACACCAACAAAGACAACTAAAGACATCAAGGAGAGCACGATGGTACCGTACACACGCATGTTATTCAACAACGCTGCCTCGGCCTCTGCTCCTTCCAGACCCTCCATCTTGAATACGGCAGCTGCTGGCACAATGTAGATCTACAAAAAAATCAATAATATTTTTAAGATTTTATAATAATATTTGTAAGATATTTTTATTTAGTACTGCCCTTCAGTAGTCAAGTCAAGTCATCTTTTTTGGCTGTTTGTCAGCCAAATATGATATTTACATGTTTCACAGAAGACAAAAGTTTAAATTTACCCCAATCATCAAAATGGAAAAGTTTACAACCCCCAGCTGTTAATGCATTGCGTCCCTTAAAAGGTTAGTTCACCCAAAAATTTAAATTATCCCATATCCCCTCAAGCCATTCTAGGTGTATATGACTTTCTTCTTTCAGCCAAACACAATCAGAGTTACTGTATGTTAAAAAATATCCTGGCTCTTCCAAGCTTTACAATGGGAGTGAATAGTAACTGAGATTTTGAAGCTCCAAAAAGCACATCCATCCACCATAAAAGTAATCCATACGGCTTCAGAGGGTTAATAAAGACCTTCTGAAGCGAAGTGATGCGTTTTTGTAAGAAAAATTTCCATATTTTTTACTTTATAAACTATAATCACTGGCTTCCGGTAACGGCTGTACGCAAGTCTAGTTCCAGCAGAAGAGTGAACTCTGACCTAACGCATGACGTAGGAAGGAGTTGTGTAAGCTTAGGTGAGAGTAGACGCCTTTCGCGGTTCAAACAAATAGTGCTGGGCAACAAACTCAAGCTCCTCCGACATTTCTCTTTAAAAATTCTCGTTTTAGAACTCTAATTCATGACCGGTGTTTTATTTTGCTCTGCGCTTCCGAGTTCGTAAATACATCATGCGTCAGGTCAGAGGTAACTCTTCCGCCGGAACTAGACTCGTGTACGGCAGTTACAGGAAGCCAGTGATTATAGTTTATAAAGTTATAAATATAAATATTTTTATGTAAGGCCTTTATAAACCCTACTGGAGCCGTATGGATTACTTTTATGATGGATGGTGCGCTTTTTGGGCTTCAAAAACTCAGGCTCTCAAACTCTGATTGTGTTTGGCTGAAATAAGAAAGTCATATACACCTAGGATGGCTTGAGGGTGAGTAAATTATGGGATAACTTTCATTTTTGGGTGAACTCACCCTTTAATTATCCTCAGTGCAGTGTGAAAATATGGATCTTAAAAAAATAAAGTCACAGTTTGAAATGGTTCAAATATGCAGAAGATGCTAGAAAAACAAAGAATGTGCAGAGTAGGACCTGGAAGATTCTTTCAGTGGACATATTATATTCACAGTATAAATTAAAATACATTTTGTAAAAATAATCATAAATCTAAGAAAAGAGATGCTCAATAATGTAATTATTCCTACAGTTTTTACCCTTGCCTGCTGAGCTTGTCAGCTATGCTTGCAATGTTTGTATTGATAAATTTTGCTTTAATTAGTTTAAATGTAATTAGTTTGACACTGAATGTCAGATTAAGCGGAAACCAATGAAATTGTACCAGCAGGATTTCGATGCATCCCAGGATGTACATGGCTCCTGCAAAAGTGGTCCCCAGATAGAAACATATACCAACGGCCCCGCCAAACTCCGGCCCCAGTGAACGAGAAATCATGTAGTATGAACCTCCAGCTACAAGCACACAAACAAATGTACCATTAAGCATATACATCTAAAGAGTTAAATAGAACAGCATTTCACACTAATATCGAATAGTAGCTTTCTTTCCATCCAATGTTGTGAATTTTCCTTAAGCGCAACATTGGAATATTGCATAAAACATTTGCTTCCATCCCATGTATCCAAGAGAACACAATCGTCACTTTCTGGGAAACCGGCGCCAAATAGCTGTACTAAAAATGGAAGTTGCTGCAATCAGGAAAGGGACTGTGGCTCTTTTTCCGTACATCATAAATGACTTGCGCCTCAGAGTGTGCAGACGAACACTGTATAAACACTGTAAAGTTATCTTGCATTCGGAGGCGGATGCCTGGTGTTTGGGAACGCAATTGTGTGAGAAAGTTCTGGGATGTAATTATGCCAAGTCATTTTGATGACAGACTTTAGCTCAGATATTTCAGAATGACCAAACCAATATTTGAGATGCTGTGCAATGAAATTGGTCCACTGGTTAGTCCAGTTATATAATCACATTCTCAGTTGAGGCAAAGTCATCGGAGTATTTTGTTGTGCATGGAGTGATTTATTCGGAAAATGTGTTTCCATCGTAGTTTCTGCATGTCTTCTTATTGGATTAAAAAATGATCCACCTCAATTGAGCACATACGCTTTTTATGCACATTTTGTATTAGTTATGCGGATTTTGGAATTTGCATTCAACTTTTTTTTTGTTGCGATATCCCAAAATTCACATAACAATAAGTGGATTAAGATAGACATAGCTATTATCATACTTTTTTCTTCTTGAAATGACATTCAAGAATTCCATGACACAGGCTACTGTTATTTCAAATAAACATACAAGCATCCACACAAACGAACACACAGTTATGAGTCTGGAGCTGATCTCAGCACAGTTGGGAGCTGTACTGTGCACTGTAGCTAACTGCGCATGAAGAACAACAGGACAGCCGTCCTCTGGGCATCTGCACGTATACACAAATACTGTGAATTCTGCTCACCTGGCACAACTCCATTGGTGGCAATAGCACTCATTGAGATCGCAGTCAGCATAGTCTGTAAATAAAGTAAATAAAGATCAATACAGTGGGGACAATGAGTGACAGAGAAAAGAGGCGCCCACTAAGTCCTCCAATGACTTGTGAAAGAAAAATTAATTTATTAGAAAATAAAACATTGAGAGGTTATGCAGTTGAGTGGGATTTTTACTGGTTTAGCAGATTCATCGGTTGTAGGGTAAAAGAGGGAACATTATTTTGTCCCTGGCCCCATGAATTGAAGTAACACCCCTGCATGAAGACATGAATTCTGTAATTATGTTGTAATATTACCAATACGCCATTTTGGGGATGGTAATTAAAAACTTTACAATGAGGTTTCATTTGTTAACATTAGTTAACTACGTTATTTAACATGAGTTAACAATGAACATTGAACAATACTTCTACAGCATTTAATAATCTTTGTTTTTACATGTCTCTCTGAACTGCTTGATTCTGATTGGTCAGTCGTAACATTCCAAGGTCAGTTATTTCCCAATAATGACCGTCGTCAATAGCAATTGACCAATAATGACCGCTTATCCGGTTATTTGAGGTCGGCACTTCTTTCATGTCTCTGGTTTCACACCACAGACATGCTGTCTGTCTCATTTCATTCAAACATTCAATAAAAACTGAAGACTTCAGTATTAATAGCAGGCCTACAAAAATATTGTTGAAGTGTTTGTCTTGCTGCTAGAACAATAGTTTTATACACAGTAATAGACTATAAGATAATAAACAGGTATGATTTTAAAACAGTTAATTCTCAAATCAATTTTTAATGTCCCCTTCATTATTTATGAGTTGGAAAGCTGCGTAATAAGTGATTTGACTGTGCATTATCCCTTTAAATGCCATATTGTTTGAACTTGTTCATTCATTGAAATAGAAAACTTTTGTAACAATGTAAATATCTTTACTGTCACTTTTGATCAATTTAATGCATCCTTGCTGAATAAAAGTACTTTCAAACTTTTAAACAGAAATGTACTTGAGCACATTTTACACTCATGTAACTTGTATGATATTTGATGCACTCAAATAGGAAGCAAGAGTATTATTTATTTGAAAGCACTCAGTATTCATATACTGCCAGCGTTGCCAAGACTGAAACAAACCTTGTGAATATGACTAGTGAGTGTGGGTTGACAGAATTTATTCTGCGAGTCTGAGTGTATCTGCTGGGGTTTGGCAGGGTCAAAAGGGCATAATAGGGGATTTATGGTGGTACAATCTGAAGGGACAGCTTTCAGCTTTTTTATATCAAACAATATTAAAGAAGATATGACAGGAGGGGAAAGAGCTCAAACTGGGACAGCACTGCACATTCACTTACATAATACTGCACAAACTCACTCTGAAAGAAAATACCGCAGCAAATATTCACTAATATGTGACACGAGCACCCACAGAACACATGCAAACACGCACGCCACTAGAATCACCAGCAGCTTGTGCTTAACTGGCAGCTCTGAAATCAAACACCACATGTAAGCATTTACATTTATGTTCTTGGCAGAAATTCCATCTGACGCTCACGTACCGACTTACAACAAAGTGACTTACAACAAAGTGATTGTATAACTGTAAGCAATCTTCAGTTAAAGGTGCAGAGGGGTAAAAGGAAACCTTAAGCTCTCGATGGGGAGTCTCTGGGGGGTCATGCTTGCATAATGGTGATAAAAAAATTCTTCTTTCGAGGTTTGAAGAGACCTTTCTGTTGGTGTAGATGCTATAAAGTGCATTCAGATATGAAGGATGGAAAGGCTATTTGTGTAGTATTAGTGTTTGAGCTTCTGCAGTGTCTGTGTATGTGCGTCTGAGACTGACCGTGGAGCAACACATGAAGACGATGACGAAGGTTCCCAGGACGCCTCCAACGCCCACTAGCCAGGTCATCCTGAGGAAAAGGATCACCCCCAGGATGTTCTGCATACATGGCAGGTAAACGCCCATTATCGTGCCCATACGTGGAGCCTGTCAATCAAACGATAAACCAATCAATAATCAGGACACCATGTAAATCTATTAACTGGTGCATGATGCTCAATATAATTCACAGACAGCATAATTAAAAGGCCATTTTATCTGCTTGTCAATCAACATCCACTCAATCATTGATTAAGTACCGTCCATCAACATACACAGGAAGACTGAGGTTCTTGAGAGTCTTATACCATGGTCATTTGCCAGCACTGACTTGTAATTGATATTTGCAAGACAATGTTTGACCTAAAGGGTAAAAATGGAAGAGTTTTTGTCACCTGCACAGTTTTCTTGCGCGCCTCCTCATTGTTTTCTGCCTCCTCATGCTCTTTACTGCCCTGCGTCAGGTTGGAGTAGTTGGCAAGGCTGCTCAGCACAGAAGACACTATAGGACTAGTGTCCATCTCCTCCTACAAAACACACACATACCAACAAGTGTAAGCCTACATTCATACTGCATGTAACCCTTTGAAACACTCATTAGCAGTGCTGCACTACCTCGAACAGAGCCATGTTTTTCCCATCATACTGCTGGCTTTTCTCTACGTCACTGGTGCTGCTGTTGATAAAGGGGCTGCTCTCCTTGGATGTTGCATCTCCTGTGAACATACATGAATTAAACATTGCTGTTAATCTGAGATTGAGTACATTAACAGAGGGCCCAAAAAGTATTTGGACACTTTTAATATAAAACATATAAAGTTGTTGTACACAACCATTCAAAATGTTGGAGTTAGCAAGATTTTATTTTATTTTTTGTAAGAAATTAATACTTTTATTCAGCAAGGATGCATTGATTTGGTCAAAAGTGACCTTAAAGAGATTTAAAATATTACAAAAGATTTCTATTTCCAATAAATGCTTTTTAACTTTCTATCCATCAAAGAATCCTGAAAAAAAAAAAAAAACGTATCATGGTTTCCACAAAAATATTAAGCAACACAACTGTTTTCAACATTGATAATAATAATAAATTATTGTTGAGCACCAAATTAGCATATTATAATGATTTCTGAGGAATCATGTGACACTGAAGACTGGAGTAATGATGCTAAAAATTCAGCTTTGCCATCACAGGAATAACTAGTTAGTTATTTTAGATTTTTATAATATTTCACAATATTAATGTTTTTACTGTATTTTAATCAATGCAGCCTTGGTGAGCACAAGAGACATTTAAAAAATCTTACAGACCCCAAACTTATAAACAGTAGTATACATCAGAAAACAAAACACTAAACAAATGGCATTTATTTATAAAAAAAAAATAATAATAATTAAGCAAAAAAAAAAAGTTTGTTAGGTTTCAAATAAATATAAAAATAGTATTTATATTTATAAAATTACAGTATGCATTGTATTCATCAAAATCAACATCAAGTAAAAACATTTGCAATTTGTCAGCATTGCTCCCACTGGATCTGCTTACATATAAGATCAACGTCATCGCATTAGCATATAATACTAAAGAACGATGTTGTACTGGTATTATCAGATTTACAACATAAGCATATTCAGTTTAAAATGTTCATTTCTCTGTAAGGGTGCTTTGTCTCACAGAATTTACAGAATGCTTTTTCACATCTCACACAAACTAAGTGCTGTGTACAGTACAATTACTCCAGTCGTTACAACTTCATGTCCATCTGAGAGAAAAGAACAGGAAGGGGGTGGATAGATACAACTGTAAAGAAAAACAGCAGCGCATCAACATGCAGCACTCCTTGAGTATCAGTGTGTGTGTGTGTGTGTGTGTGTGGGTGAGGAATTCCAGGATTTCTACATACTCTTCCATAGCAACAACCCGGTTCTGTGCCTATTTTTACACTGCCGCTTTCAGCCGCACATCCTTTATCACAGGAACCCTTGATCGGTTTATTCTGAAGTAGCGCAACATACACCCTCACAGGTTCAGAACGATGCTCTTGTGTCCAATAAATACGTCACTGTTTTTAATTGCGTGAATTTCTAAATTGTAGTGCGGATTGTAATGTCACCTTCCCTGCCTTCTCTAACATAATTATATGTGGGAGAATGTTCATTAAATGGCCAAGGGAAATCCTGCCTCTTAGCTTGCCCGGTTTAATCTGATGTATTAGTTTAATTAATCATGCTTCCTGCTTGATACATTTTAATTTTCACAGCATTTTCCTGCTTATTGACCTGCGACCCTATGACCTTTAAACACACAATTCATCACCTTGTAATTTCATCTGTCACCGCTGAATCAATACGTCACCAATGCTTTCGACGGAAGTTTAAAATGCCAGGTTTATATACAGATATATAGTACTTTAATCTTGTGAAGCCAAAATAAAAGTCAATTATTTCATTTAAGGATCCTTGGTCTCACAACGCTTTAATCATCGTACTTTTTGGTTTATCACTTGGTTCCTACTTGTGCATTTGTTCCTATGTGACTGTAGTGTGTTTTCTCTCTAATCTTGGCTGAAACTCCTACTTCTGGCTCTCTTGACACACACCATCCCACAACCCCAGCAGACTCACACTGTAATAAGGAATAATGAGAAAAAGATTGGTTTACAGATTGAGATAGATTCTAATCTTTGACATAGTGTGCTGTGTGGTAAAATTTATAACAGAAGCATTTGGTTCATTGTTACAATCCCCTGAAGAGACCCCGAGCATCTCTGTGCCTATTACAGATATCAAAGAGGGGATTGTATACTGAGGGGGTCTGCTGATTCTGCCCTGCTGTCCATTTGAATGGCTCCGGTTTTGCAATGTTGCAGAGGCAAGAGTAGGACAAAAGACAGTAGCCGATGCTTGTACTTTTCTCATAGCTATTCTTTCCACTGCCTTTTTATACACTTGCTCTGTCCACTTATGCGCTCTGTCCACTTAAATACACACCAGCCCTCTTTTCTGAGACATGGGATATTCTAGAGCAACACAATTTATTACTTATATTCTAATATCATATGTGATTTGATTATATTTAAGTAATAACACGCGCTATATCTACCCCCAAAAGATAGACGCAGTGATTTTCAGACCAAGTTCATGATTACGGTACTGCTATGATACAAAAGTTCAATCAACAAGAAGTTAATATTGTACATTGTGTATATATTGCCATATATATTTTCTTACTTAGTCTATATCTTTGCTCGGGCAGCGAAAATTTGCAAACAAGCGCACAGCGGAACCGCAACACGTCTCTGTATATTTCCTAAATGAATTTTAAACAAAAAGATTGAGTGAATGATTCAACTCCCTCATAAATGGTTTTGTTCCCTCATAAATGGTCATTTATTCAAATGACTTACCCATAAAGACAGTCCTTTGGCATCACCTATTGGCGTAACTTACAAAGTTACTGAAAAATCCCCTTCACTACAGAGAGTCTGTCTGGAAGGTGTTTAAAGATCAGGGCTATTGGGGTGTGCTATATGTATCGTCTACTATAATATCATAATTATTGTTTTAGCAAGCTGACATTAACGAGTATCAAAAGTGCTGTTTCCCCCCCAAATATCATTTAGCATGTTTACATGCATGTTCTCAACCCGATTATGCTTAATAAGCCGACAATGCATGGTGTCATATAAACGTGTTAACCTGTTTTCCTGTAATTGGAGTAAGGTTATAAACGGCTCAAACATAAATTGACTGGCACAGCTAAAATTTTGTCCTTTACCCCGATTTTACCTGCATGTAACCTCTATAAGCTGCGTTCTGTCCGCTTATTGAAGTGCACATGTGATATATGTGACAGAAAAGCGTCCTTAATTGTCGATTTAAGCGCATGCAGAAAGTGTTAGTGTTTCGCGGCAAGGTAGAAATATTTTGCAAACTGACAATTTCTTGACCCAAGAAATTATAAAAATGTGTTCTTATCAAAATACTGCATCTGTAAGTGCAAGAGTGGATAATATATGACTCTATAAACTGAGATGTAGCAAAATCATGTCAACGTTATGCATTTTATATATAGAGAGGCCATCAAAGATTAAATAAATGCTAATTAATGGTGAGCAAAATGTGTAGGCTGAGTAAAGCTTTTCTGAATGCAACATGAGCCTGATGTTTTTATCTCATGCAGTTTAGCTTAGCACCCCTTGTGAAAAATATTTAGCATTCTTAAAAAAAAATTATAATAAAGTACATAATATACTTTTCAAATTTAAAATAAATATATTTACTTTTATTACATAACATATATTTTTAAAATTATATTTTACTTTATATTACCTTTCCAAAAGTAGGCCTTAAGTACTTAAGTGTGTTAAGAATCAGTCGTAACAGTGTACAGTGTACACCATTTAATGGGCCAATAATCATCTGAAAGTGATATATAGTTTTTTAAAAATATACTTTTAAGAATTGAAGTACACTACAAGTGCACATTCAATACTTATTTTTTCATAGGGACTAGTTACTGACTACTTGTCTGCTGCCTTTACAACACTAGCAATTAAACTTTTTACAAGTTTATTAAAATACACTGTCTATTTTCAATTTCATGATCATAATGTCTGACTTCCACAGTTTGGCTCTTGTTCAGTGAAATTAAAACAGCACTGCACTCGTTCCCTCTAAGCACCTTTGCCTTTCTATAATCCACAGTTTTAAAATCTGCTTTTCAAAGCCTATTTCAGTCCATGACATCAAAATAATCTGCTTTTTAATTTTTTATGTTTTGCCTTCCCATTTCTCTTTTCACTTTCATTTGTGTGACCAGGTTGCGTCACATTTAGTATATTCCATGTCAGAACCACAATTCATGACTGATTTATGGTGTGTATAGGATCAACGTGCTGACCCTTTGACTAAGTACACTTTAGCATACTTTTTTAAAAGTCTTATTACGGATATACTTCAATATACTTCAAAAGATGAATGTAATGAATTTAATGTTTTCGAACACTTAATTGTATGTTAAATGATAATGTTTTATAGGTTAAATGTATATTAAATGCAAACTTAAGTGTGCTTTTTGGCCCTTAAGTTTGCCCTTTGGACTTAAGTACATCTTTAATTTGATCATTTCTTCTATTGTCTTTGAAATGTGATCAAAGCGCACTTTTAAAAAGTACTGACAAGCCTTTACAGTATGTTAAACTTATATACTTTGTAATTTATTTTGGAACTTGTGTTTCATGCATTTGTAAATATATTTGTATACATTTGTATTGATGAAGTTGCAATATTTCAAATATTAATGTAATATTGAATAACACACTACAGTTAAAATTATAAAGTTAAGTACTTTAAATCTGCTTTAGTGTGTTAATCAACAAATCAAAATAAGTGTACTTTTTTAAAGCATGACAAAAGATTAAAACAATGATTTAAAAATTACTTGAAAGTAAAGCAATTTGACATTATTATTAAATGCTTTTTTATAACAGTCATGAAAGTGTACTCTCTACACTTAGATGGACTTTTATTTCAGTAATATTATATTATCTGCAAGTACAGGTTTTTGAAATATACTTCTAAGATTTGAAGTACACTACAAGGGCACAAACAATACAATTAAGCAGACTTCTTTTTCACAAGGGAGTATTAGCCCAATTGTGGAGAACATGCAGAATTCCAGAAATTCTGATAAACCTATGTCTAGAAGTGGCCA